AGGATAAGTATCTTCTCGGGGTAAGCAACCATAGCGAGGATTCCACAAATCAGTATGCTAATTCATGCAGTTGAACAACCTGGTGAACTCGGGTATCGTGCAAGATTATCCGCCACTTTGCGATGTCAAGGGCTCATACACGGCCCAATATGAACATGTAAGTCCGTCTACTTTAATTTCATTTGGTATGGAGACTAACGACGCAGACTGTTGTTCTCCGGCCTACCGTAAAGGAGGTCATCAGTCGCGGCGACGACTACTAAGCGTTTCAAGACTTATGAAAAGCAACGATGTACAGACTCGCATAAAAATTGAAACTACCCTTTTGTATGCCTGCATTAATAAACACTTGACCAGGAGACTGTCGTATCATGTCGGCCCATCAATGCCGCCGTAGCCCCACGTGGATCTTTACTGTAGGGGAATTTAATATGCGCCTCCGGATCGACATCTGCACTTGCTGTAGACGTTGTTGCAACCTCTTCTCTTTTCCATCTCCCATTGCGTGAATTTCAATCTTTCACCACGCATTATACCACGATCATCAATCATGGCATCGGCCACCCAAACCGATTCCGCGCCGCACCTCCGCGCGTCCGCCGTGAAGAATCAGGAACAGAAAAACGGCCAAGGTCAACAGCAAGAATCTGGACGAATCCCGCCACCAGAATCGTCCCTCGTCGAGGACCATTTCTTTTGGACATATACAGAGGAACCGCATCGCTCCAGACGACAAGCAATCATCAAAGCTCACCCGGAGGTACGTCGCTGCAGTGTTATTCCAAACCAACTTACCATCCCTTCTATACACGTTTCAACCCCATTAATTCAACCAATTTTCACTAACAATTCCTCTGAGAGGTCGATAGGTAACAAAACTCTGCGGCCCCGAACCCCTAACCAAATACACTGTCCTCTTCGTCGTCTCCCTCCAAGTATGCTGCGCCTACCTCCTCCGCGATACCTCCATGCTCTCATGGAAATTCCTCCTCACGGCCTACGTGATCGGAGCCACCTCCAACCAGAACCTCTTCCTGGCTATCCATGAGATTTCGCATAACCTGGCGTTCCGGTCGCCCATGGCAAATCGGTTATTGGCGATTTTTGCGAATATTCCCATTGGGATTCCGTATAGTGCTGCGTTTCGTGTACGTTCCCCGTACCCTACCAATTGTTCTCAGGAACGTCAAAGATACTAGGAGCAGGAAGCTAATAAAAGGAATAGCCCTACCACCTAACCCACCACAAATCCCTCGGCGTAACCGGCCTCGACACAGACCTCCCCACCGCCCTCGAAGCCTTCGTCCTCGACTCCCTCCTCGGAAAAGCCTTTTTCTGCACCTTCCAGCTACTCTTCTACGCCATCCGTCCTGCCTTCGTCTACTCCCCACCCTTTTCGCACATTCATTTGATAAACATCATAACCCAATTCTCCTTTGACTATGCCTTGACGAAGGTCTCCGGGGGCTCGCTGCAGCCACTGCTGTATCTGCTGCTGAGCGCGTTACTGGCGGGTTCGTTGCATCCGTGCGCGGGACATTTTATCGCGGAGCACTATATTTTCGAGAAAGTTGGGGATGGGAAGGGAACGGAGAGTATTCAGCGGCGGAAGATGAACGGCAACCAGACTGTTGGCGCCAATGGCATGCCTAAAGAAGTTGCAAACCTGCCTCCGCCGGAGACGTACTCGTACTACGGACCTCTCAACATTCTGACTTATAATGTTGGTTTGCATAATGAGCACCATGACTTCCCTGCTATCCCGTGGACGAGATTGCATGCGCTGCATCGCATTGCGAGTGAATTCTACGAGCCGCTGCCCTGCCACCGGAGCTGGGTTTGGGTGATCTGGACCTTCATCCTGGATAAGAATGTGGGCATGTGGTGTCGTGTGAAGCGTGCACAGGGTGGTCGTGTTGTTGGTGGTAGTAGTGCTAATGCTAAGGCTGGACGTGCTGGTGAGGGGATTTCGGGTGCATCGAACGGTCCGGAAGAAGGGGATGGGTGGAAGGAGAGTGAGATTCAGAACTAGGTTTGAATCATGCATTGTTTGGTCGGTTATATTGTCTCATACTTTTTTTTTTTTTTTTTTTTTTTTTTACGCATATGGCTGTACGAATATAGACTCTTATGTACCTACTAGAACGGCATCTGGAATTAACCATAACGTCATGAATTAATTGAGCACTTGACTGGACATGTACATTCGTCGCAAGAAAAAACAGGTATTGTTTGTGAGCCGCTCAACGAAACAGGGATAACGATAGCAAGCCCATGGCAAGGCAACGGTAGGGTTGATGACGCAAGGGTATTGCTTATTTGACCAGTCAATTGACAAAGCCATCCTCTGTTGTTTCATATGCAATTGAATTGTGACTCGCTGTCTCCGATTGGGTGATATCATGATACTAACAAAGGAAACAAAGCGCATGGCGACAATAACAAAAGAGCAACAAAGTAGAAACACCAAAGGGAAGGATGGGCATAATCGAAAGAAAAAGTAAAGACCATAGTAACAAAGAAGGGTAAAAAGAAGTGTCTGAAAAGAAAAGAACAGAAAAAGAATACAACTGGCTGCAGAATAGAAGTATGAGAAAGGAAAAATCCGAGTCGACGAGTGACTAGAAGAAGATGTAGGCGATCAAGAAACTTAGCAAACAGAGACTCGCCACTATTTGGATTGGCACACCTGCAAGTGCTGACTGCGCCTGCTGCTGTTGCAACATTGACGAGGATGGCTCTTTAGAGTCGATTCCAATCTTGCGCTGCCTCAGTCCGTTGTCGGAAACCTTCTCCTTGAGTCTTTCAATCTGCGAGTTGGCTTCGACGAGCTTGGCCTTGAGTTCATTGACGGAAGGCGATCCGGTGGCACTTGATTTGCTCTCGTTTGTCTGGGAAAGTTCTTGCTTTGGTTTTTCGTTGAAATCCGGAGGCGGGATAGGGGAAGTCTCCGCACTCTTTTTGGTCAATCCGACAGCGGGGGTCTCGTAGTTTGCGATGGGCGAGGTCTGTGCCGGGTGTTCTTCGTCGGATGCGGTCTGTATCTATTGTAAGCACATGCACAGATATATAAAGCATGTCATGGAACATACAGTGCCATTGGCTTCTCCACCCTGGCTAGCATCCAAGTCTTGGGCCAGCCAATTCACGCGAATCTTGCGTTCCTGAACCGAAGATTTGGAAGACTTTTCGAACTATGCGGTTGTTAGACGTGTGTCGAAGCACGATACGGAATGACAAAACATACGATGGAAGTAACGTTTGCGAATTCCAAGTCACCCGTGACCGCGACTGTCTGAACCAGGAACTTGTCCTTGCACTTGGCATCGAGCGGGGGCTCATCCTTCATAGCCTGCAGCAGAACTACTTCTTAATAAGCATGTCATCCATACAAGTGCCACGCACATGTTATACTGACCTTGGACGCCCACATGTTTCCCGGGTTCTATACGGCCAGAGTTGGGTCGAACACAGTAGCTGCGACGATTTAGTTGGTTGTTCTAGAGACGTATATGGTAGGAAAGTTGGATGAGCAGGGTACGTACTGTTTGGGAGCGGTGGTTTTGACCTAAGACGGACACTTGTCAGCTTGCGATGCCTTCCTGATTAAGAGAGGGAGGATATCCGTACCTTGAAAACAATGGCCTCTGGGTTCTCATTGTAGAGTTCCAAAACCTGGCAGACCTCATGGATGAAGGGCCCTGTAGCAGTTCGATTAGACAAGTGATTGCAGTGCGATGAATGTGGGAAGGTAAGACGCACGCTTGAAGCCCAACTCGGGCGGGTTGAGGACGACAGACATTATGGACACCACAACAGGGAGAGGGGAGGAAACAACGTGTGCGCAAGGAGATAAAAGAGGTAAGATTACACAAGGGAATAAAGCTGAAGAGCAGAGCGACGTGCAAGAAAGACGAGGGGTCAACGGGAGGAGGAAGGAAAGGGAAAAAAAAAAAAAGAAAGTTGACTCCGTAATGGCCAGGGAGAGCGACGCTCGGTGATGATGACTTTCCGTGCCTACCTTCCATCGCTCCTGCCAATTGGCCAGTAACGCTGACTCAGCAATCAGGTCAGGTGATGTCATCTAACAGTGGTGTTTGGAGACATGGAGAATTTCCTTTTTGCACGCATTGCATTAATGATCTTCTCTATAAGAGCTACGTACTACTGTTGAACGATGTTAAGTCCCTGATCGAGATGGTATGGTATATCGATCAGTGTCATCCACTCTAGTCTCCAGACTATCGCCCGTCGAATTTCCGGGGATCCACAAGGTTTTCTTACTTACATCCTCGGGTCTTTCGTTGCGAACCCAAAACGACTTGGATTGCGATGGCACATGTGATCTGTTCTGCGCATTTTTGGGATATTTCGGCCGTATTTCTCGTGGCCAAATTGACAGGAATTACACTTGGTAGCAGGAATTTTGCGATTTGTGCGACTGAATACAGACCCAGGCCAGCATTGCTCAATCGAACAACTCATTGATCCTTTGGATCTCGACCCTATCAGCGTTTCACTAAAAATATCTGCCGAGCGGGCTACATAACAAACCCATATCCGCTCCTTGTCCGTCCTGTGCCTCTTAAGAGCAATGCCGCGCATGGTCACTCGAACACTTGCTTTTTCCTATCGGATAATCGACTGTACAACGACGGTGCCTGGTAACGGTAATATTGGCGTGTTCTTATGGCATACATGCCGTTTTGACCGTGGACCAGGTCAGCTCAAAACGCATAGGAATTGGGCATCAGAAACATCTACAACCAACTTAATCCGAGCGTAGTAGTATTCCCCTTGGAACTGTCCCGTCCAAGGAATGGACAAACCAACAGCACAATGCTGTGTTTGTCCAATTGGAGAATTCTGAGCTTTGCATAGTTGGAAATCACACGTAGTGGTACTTTATAGGCAAATCATAAAACCCACGAGCAGCCAGAAGACGTAAGATCTGCTCCGCATGATACAATTGGAGCTGAACGCCAGGAATACAGAAATGTTCCAGAACATTTCAATTGTACTGTAAATTGCTGGAGCAGGAATGCGGGCCATCCCGCAAACTGTGTGGCTCTCCGCCCGGCAGTAACTATACGTCACCTTCTCTACCTCCCTTCTTCTCTACAATCAGCTACACCTATCTACTGTCTTTCCTCAGGCACCTTTTCTCGCCTTCATCTGACTTGGCGATCTATAATTTCCCCTACTCGTCTTACAGCTTCTTTTGACGCTCGTATAAACGTTGCACCAGAGCTTACCCCACCTTGTAACAACAGATCGCACCTCGCATAATCATGGCTAGTTCCGATCTGGACCAGCTCATTGAGATGGGCTTTGACCAAGAAAGAGCACAGTTGGCGGTCTCGAAGGGCGGTGGTAGTAAGTCTCTTTTCCACAAGTACGTCGCGATCGGTTTCTTTGGCTAACCTGCATGGCTACTTCAGTCCAGGGTGCTCTCGAATGGCTCGAAGTGAACCAAGACAAGTCCCTCGAAGAAATCAACGCTGCCGTAGCCGAACAGGAGTCGGAAGAAGGTCCAGCGCTCCAACCTGGCGAGGTCCCCCGCAGTTTGGTTTGCAATGAGTGTGGCAAGAAGTTCCGGAGTCAAGCCCAAGCGGAATTCCACGCGTCCAAGTCTGAACATGTCGACTTCGCGGAATCAACGGAGGAAATTACACCCTTGACGGAGGAGCAAAAGAAGCAGAGACTGGATGATCTGAGAGAGAAACTCGCGGCGAAGCGAGCGGTGCAGGGTGAGCAGGAAAAGGCTGACAAGAAGCGAAATGAGGTATGGAATCCATTGCTCCTCAAGCTCTTTATTGTCTTCTCTAACATCATCCCCAGGAAATCAAAAGGAAGAGCACCAAGGAATCACAGGACATCAAGGAGGAGCTCGATAAAAAACAACGGTTGAAGGAGGCACAGAAGAAGAGGCAAGAGAGGCAGGATGACATCGAAGCAAAGAAGCGCGTCAAGGCCAAGATCGAGGCAGACAAGGAAGCACGACGGTTGAAAGCTGAACGGGAGAAGGCCGAACGAGCTGGCCAGGCACCTCCTCCTCAGCCGGCACCCGCTGCTGGTCCGACAACCTCCGGCCCTGTTGCCTCCAAGCCTGCCTCCGCCTACACAGAGACTCGTATGAGATTCCAGACGCCCAAGGGCAATGTCATGAAGACGTTCCCAGTCACCACGACCCTTTTTGAGGTCGCCGCGGCCTTGAAAGAACAAGACGATGTCGATACGACAAGCTTCCTGCAGACCTTCCCCCGGAAAGTGTTCAACAATGAGTTTTTCGGCGAGAGCTTGAAGGACCTTGGTCTCATTCCTAGTGCAAGTCTTATCATTCAGTGATCTCAGATCTGTTTTTTTTTTTTTTTTTTTTTTTTTTTTTTTTCTCCTTTTCCAGAGACGAATGCACCTTCAATATTAGACATTGTTAGCAAAGCAAGACAATAATGGGTTTATGAATGTCGAACGGTTATGAAAAGGTCGGAAGAGATGTCTTTGACCAGCGATCCGTCTATCTACCTTGGTAGTAGTCCGAACCTCGGTATAATGATACCTCTTCGAAATACCGAGTAAATACAATCTAAATTGTTGGTACATACACATTTCATCAAGTGCAGATTTATAATCAAACAAAAAGAGAATGAAAGGAAATTTGCACCTCCTGGTATGATCTAGTTATCATCACGTGATGTCGCGATATGCCCGTGTCGGCATCCGTCACGCGTCTCAGCATTACCAATCAGTCAATCCAACATTACTTTACACTTACCACTTTTGTGCTTGGGACTGGATTTCTGATAGTCCCATAGCTTCGCTTTAATTATCGCGTCTTGATAATGCCAGCGTGAGCTAACAGCCACCAACCCAAGACCACAGTTAAAACAAGCTAACCGCGTCTCTCCCCAGTGTTGGCGACCAACATCGAGCAACCCCAGCATGCGTAATGATGCCTAACGCAACCGGAACGATGTCAGGAAACCCATTCGAAGAACCTCAGCGCCGAATGAGCGAATACACCGCGAAGGAAATCGCCACTCTCCAAGCACGACTCGATAAGAAGCTGGGGCCCGAGTACATTTCGTCGAGACCGGGTGCCGCGGGACAGAGGGTACACTATCTCTCTGCAGACAAGTGTATTAATCTTGCGAATGAGGTATTTGGGTTTAATGGATGGTCGAGCTCGATTCAGAATGTTCAAATTGATTTTGTACGTGACTGTTGAGGGAGGGGTAGTTGGGGTCATGGGTCTTGGAGACTAATACGCGTGTTATGCAGGTTGAGGAAAGTCAACATACTGGGAAGATCAGTTTGGGATTGTCTGTTATCGTGAAGGTAATGCTGAAAGATGGGACTTTCCATGAGGTGCGTTTTCAGCCCGCTTCATTTGTGAGGGATCAATCGACTTACACATGCTGTAGGATATCGGCTACGGACACATCGAAAACTGCAAAGGAAAAGCCGCTGCGTTCGAGAAGGCCAAGAAAGAAGGGACAACAGATGCTCTGAAGCGTGCATTGAGGAACTTTGGCAACGTTCTGGGCAACTGCATTTACGACAAAGATTATGTGTCGAAAGTGACGAAAGTGAAATCTGCACCTGTACGGCATCTTTTACAATCCAGTGCTCCTGCATATGCTGACTTTACTAGGCAAGATGGAATCCAGATGAACTTCACCGACATCCTGATTTCGCTCCAGTCAAGAAAGAAACCGCGCCGCCAAAACCTCCTCCCCAAGAAGATGACGACCTTCCTCGTCCTGCTGATGCTGCAAGACCCGCGAAAGTCGATACATTCGACGGTGATGGAGAGTTTGGAAGTATGCCGCGAGATGGTTCCTCTGACCTGTTTCCAGCGCTAACGGGCAATAGGTGACCTATTCGATGAAGCCGATTTTGGAGTGCCTGAGACCGGCAATCCAGATGAAATTACACTGGAGCCAGAGCCACAAGGAAAGCAGCAACCTTTTACGCCCGGTGTGAATGGCCAGAATGCCCAACCAAGGCCTCTAGCCAATATGCCAGGGCCTCCCGGTGGCCCTAACCCAGCAGTTGTAACGCCTTCTAAGCCTGAAAGACCTTGGAACCCGGCGCCCCCACGACAAGCCTCTGTACCTCCGTCTAATGGGCGCCCAAATCCTGCACTCAATAATCCTAATATACGACGACCTACTCCTGCGCCCGCCCCTCAAAACTTCCAGAATCCGTCAACAGCACAACCAGGTCAACAACGACCCAATCAAGGTTCAGATACGAATAACATGGGTCCTGTCAAACGTGAATATAGTCAAAACGCGGACATGCCTCCGCCAGGAACGCCATCGGCTTCCTTCTTCTCAGCTCGAGCAGTCGACATGTTACGAGATAACCCAGCTGCCCCGTCCGCAGCACCGCAGTTTGACCCCCACGCCCAAAGTCCTTCCATCCGCAAGACAGCAGGCGTCGACCACAGCAAGAGCATCCCCATATCAAAACCCATGGTTACCGGCGCGTCCCCCGCCACAAACAACACGCGAGACTTTGTCAACCCCTCTACAGACACGAACCGAAAAATTGGCGCCCCTGGCAGTGGTGGCTTTGGCAGTCCAATGAACAGAGGTCAATCGACCTCGTCCTACCGGCCATTGACACGGCCGAATATCGATCCCAGAAACACAACGAACCCTGCGTTAGCGAATAGAGGCAGCGTTGGACCGCAGAATGTTAACGGCAAAAGACCTCCGTTGAACGATGTGACCAATGCAGCTGCCGCTGCCAATGGTCCTGGTTCCGTGCCTGGCGTTGTCGACCCTAAGAGGCCCAGGTTCAATGCGGGTGACCCGAATCAGCCACAGCAACCGCAACAATAATGTTTTCTAGAGCCATCTAATAGAGGAAATAGAGGGCTTTGATTTCGCGTCTGGTTTTTCTTTGGTCATTATTACCCTGGTGTTTACGAGTGGGATGGCGTTCTGGCGATGAGAATCAACATGGCATGGAATGGGATTGATTGATTGTATGGTATTGGCGACGTCGTTTATTTATCATTATTGGCTGCATATTATTCGACTCATGTTTCGAATCCTATGTCTTATATAGTACTAGTATGTATACCCATGAGCAGTGTACATCCGCGAGAGCATGCAATTGTTGGTCGTTTTCTTCTGAACCAGGTTGAATGATCAAACCCCCGTGCTTCATGTTCATTTCTTACCGTGTAAAAGACTCGACTACTATTGTGACATTCGTATTAATGAAGATTATCATTCCTCATGTATTACCCTGAACAAAGGAGAGAAAAGAGACAAATCAGACAAACTGAGAAGGAAACGAAAGAAAGAAACATCATTATTTTTATGGCATACTTTCGTAAAGAGAACAAAAAACCAGTCGAGGCACAGAAAAGGAAAGTAAGTGGAAGAAGAAAAGAGAGAAAAGGAAAAAGTACAGCAACATGTGAAAAGAAACGAAACACTACAAAAAGACCTGATCCTATACTCAAGATAACTACCTGTAGCTGGCACTTGGATTTCACAAGCGGTGCCGGATTCGTCGTAATTCACGATGAGTACTTCGAGCTCATGAGGCCACCTAGAGTTGAGCCTGCTTTCGAAACAGTCTTGGGACCGACTGGAACGGGTTGGCGTGTTGCTGGCACCTCTTGAGGGCTAGCGTGAACAGATTGGCCCAGCGAACTACTCGCTGGAGCGGGTTGGCGTGTCGGTTCCTTCGGGGCAGCGTGGATGGATTGGCTCATTGAAGTGAACTTCGATTCTGGCTGTTTCATATCCTTGGCGATCGGGGTGATGGGCGGACGTTGCGATGGCACCGAGGCTTCTCGAGCAGCAGAGCTAACACGAGCAACAGGCTCAGTCTTCTGCGAAGAAGAGGCGTTCCGCGCGTGCGTCTTCGCAGGCGGCTGGACAGCATGTATGGACTGCGTCAAGGTGCTCATGGCCGGCTCGGTCATCTGCACACTGCTGACGACCTGGGGAGTAGGTCGGCTCTTTGGCACTTCCAGCGTTACGCCTGAAGAAGACGATGCGGAACAATCACGGCTTTTAGGCTCGACGGTCTGGGGCAAAGGGACATTGTTGGACGCCTCCGGCTGAGTGGATGATTCGGCTTTGGCTTTACTCTCGAAAACCGGGATATTCACGTTCTTCAGGACCGTTTCGCGAGGTGGGATTGAGAAGCTCATTTTCGTCGTGCTAGGTTCTAAATCCATGTGAGAAACTTTTATCTGGAGAGTTATGCTGGTTATTTGCCTACCATCAGAAGAAGTGCGTGACGTTGATGAAACCTCTCTCAACAAGGATGTGGTACGTGAACGTCTACCAGGGAGCAAATGGTCACCAAAGATGTGATCAGAGGTGGTCGATTCCGGCTCATCTGGAGCAGGTGGAACCCGTATCGGATTTGCTGCACGCCGGATTGGAACAGGTGTCGGGGGTGGTGCTGTTGAATCACTTGAGATGCTGTTTGTCGGAGAGCGATATCCACTGAAACTGCTGACGCGGGGGTAGAACGGAGGTGCAGTAACTGCCTGTCTAAGTCGTTGTACACTGGCGCTGTCAAGTGGAGAGATGGATGAGATCCTTTCATGCTTAACAGGCGTGTTTACAGCTGAACTCCCGCTTCGCTGAGCTTGGCAAAGTTCTTCAAGTTCTTTCTTGCACTGCTTCAACCTTTCGCAGAATTCCTCTCCAAGATCTCCAAGAGTAGTGCTCTCCAGCAAGGCACTGAGGAGTGAAATTTCGCGTTGATAATCAGCGATACTTGGTCTGTTGGACCGCTGCTCAGGGCTTTCTGTAGACTCAAGGGTAGTAGATCCACGTGCAGCAACGGAGTCAGGGGAATTTCTAAAGTCAATTCCTTCTAGATCCTGAATTGCAGGACTTGCCATGAAATCGCTCAATGGGCTTGAATCAGGTGGCGTTGTGCCGAAATCGAGCAACAGTTCTTCGGTTTTTTCGACGTTGGCCTTAATATGTTCACTCTCCGTCTTGGTAGCCATAACATTCTGGGATGCCGATGGCTGCAACTGACCAATTGGTTTCTTTGTGGTGTTTGACTCTGCATTGTCAACCTGCTTGCTTATCAGGTCAGGAGCAGAAGACTTTTCAGGATGATCTGAGCTCGTTGGCTTAGGGTCTTTACGCTCGTTAACTGGTAGAACAAAGGCAGCAGAGACGCTGGCTTTCGGGGCTGTGCCTTTCGCGGCCGTATTTACTGACGAGACGGGAGTAACAGGGCCGTTCGCTTTCGAGACTGTACTTTGAACGGGTGTTTTCGCTGACGAGATAAAAATAGCAGGGGCGTTTGATCGCACGTTCGTTGGCGAGCTAGAAACAGAATAAACGTTTGCTTTCGGGGCTGTGGGTATTCTCACTGACGGAGCAGAAGCCGCAGGAACGTTGGCCTTCGGGGCTGTTCCTTTCGTGGGCGTGTTTACTGAAGTAGCAGTGACGCTTGTTTTGGGGGCTGTTCGCATGCTTAATGGCGAGGTAGGAGCAGCAGACGCGTTCGCTTTCGAGGGGATGCCTTTCGTGGGCGTAACAGGAGCCGTAGGGACGTTTGCTTTCGAAGTTGTGGCTCTCGTGGGCGTGTTGGTTGCCGAAGTAGAAGCAACAGAAGCGTTCACTTTCGAGGGCATGGTGGACGTGTTCGCAGAAGCGGTAGGGATATTTGCTTTCGAGGTCGTGGCTTTCAAAGGCGTGTTGGTTGCCGAAGTAGAAGCAACAGAGACCTGTGCCTTCGCGGTTGCTGGACTGTGAAATGGAGGAGTCTTTGGAGCTTCTTTCGGCTGAGCAACAATTCTCTTGGCGATCCTGGGGGCATCTGGTCCCTTCTCAGGAGTAACTCGATTGTCCTTGGTAGGCGGGTTGGATGCCTTCGATGGACCAGCGGGCCTAGTCTCAGGCGTTCGAGGGCCTGGGGCAGGAGTATCATCAGAAGTTTTAGTGTTGATCATGCTACGGGCTATAGCAAGAAAACTTTCGGGGGGGCTAAGAATGCGGGCATAATCACCAACGCTGCAGGCAGTTAGAGCTGTGGTGCACGAAGGATGGGAGCTGCACTTACACCGGACGTCTGGTCCTGAGATTTGTTTTCTCTGCTCCATCGTCTGAGTACGATAGGTCAGATACTGCAGCTTCAACAATATGTAGATTTTTCACTCACCGGATTTGCTTCGAGCCTTGACTTCTTCCCGACACTTCTTATAGGGGTCGTTGTTAGAATCGAGCGCAGGATCCAACCTTGAACGACCAGGAGCATCAACAATATGGCGATCAATTTTCATAATCGCTCCCTGCTTGGAGGTTCTAGCCGAAGCAATACTGGCTCACTGTTAGTATCGTGTAACCGTTGATGGTTTAAGGCTAGTACTTACTTAGGGGCAGGCATAATTGGCGTGCGGCCTCTTGTACCCATGACACCGCCGCCACGACCTGCAGGGTTTGAGCGTCTGCCATGTCCTCTGCCGTAGTCCGTCTCTGCAACTTTGAGGAAGTTGTCCTTTCTGGTGACAGACTTTGTGTAGGCTTGTCCACCACTTGCAAATATCAAAGCACCCAAGCGCGCACGGTGACTTTGACCATCCAGTAGATTGTCAAGGTGCTCCAAGTCCTTTGTGTCCCCGATATCTTTGTACGCATCTGTTGCATGGTTTAGTCAAGGGCTTTGGATCATGAATGCCTTAGAGCACTACTCACTTGCCCAACCAGCGAGACGCGCTTTATTAACCTGAGCCGCCTGTTGTGCCTCAGATCCAACCAGGTTTGTCATCCTAGTCGCTTCGATATGGTCGGGGTGGACTTCTTTGACCTTCTTGCCGTCCGTAGTTGAGATGTGTTCTCGTCTGGCAGTGCCCAGATCCGCCTATTAATATTGTAACCAGAGTCAGCTCTCACATCCCTGTTCAACTCTGAAGACTAGGTAAAAGAACAAGCTAGTCACGTACCAACTGCAGCCTTCTAAGCCGCTCAGCAGCAGCTGGGTCCAGCTTTGCAGGCTCCATTTTTGCGTTCTGTCAAGAAGCGTGTGCCGCAAAAGAAGAAAAGAAACAAGAAAAGAGCGTCGAGGCGGGAAGTGGTCGAGGCAGCCCCTCTTGGGAGTGCCGTCGCCCGAGTGAATTCTTTGGCTAAAGAGCAGAGTGAATGGACTGTAGTGTTAAAAAAGCAGGAAGTAATGGTGCGCAGGAAGAAGAACGAAGGAGATAGGGTCATGAAAAACGAAGGAACAAAGGATAGAGAACTGGAGAGGATAATGGGTAGAGAGGAGAGATAGAGAGGAGAGATGGAGAGAAGAGGAAGAACGGGTTGCTGTGGTGCCCAGAGGAACAAACGCTATGTTTCCCAAAAAGGAAAGGCATACATTGGGGTTGTTTGCACACCAAAAGATAATTTCTTTTTCTTTTGTTTCCAACCCGACAAGAAGCAATAACATTCACAATTTGATAGGTAGATTCAGATCTGAGATGAAGTTACAGGGATTTTTGCATGGAACGTGCACATAGCTGAATACCTGTAGGTGAAGTAGGTAAGTGACAATGTATTCGAAGACAGAATATGTACAGTCTGTTGAGAATGATCAAAAACTTGAGAAATGAGAGAACAAGTCTAATGTCTAGAGATGCATGAAACAGAGGAGTAAGATTCAAACACGACGCTCGTTCTTAACTGCAGGTACCGGAGCCGCTCTCGCCTAGGATGAGAACACATTAGCAAATCTTCCTTGTGGTCCATAGAAACAATGGCAGTAAAGATACCCTTTATCATCTTCACAACCGCCTGCAGCAAGCTAACTCCCATAACTATGATGCCGAATGTTATGCACAAGTACGCAGGTATCTTCTCCTTCCGACTCGCAGTGCTCAATTTGACATAGCAAAGAGGAGGGAAGATGTAGGCCAGAGCAGCCGCACTCGTGGCTCCGATCAGTTCGAACACAGCCCCGAGATCGCAGGTGATCAAGGAAATCAGCATTGACGACAAGACAAGAGCAGTAGTGAATAGCAGATGACGGTTCATGTTGAAAGGTTCATCGGGGAAGTAATAGGTCAACATGACAGATCGACAGACAAATGCCTCCAGGGGTAGTGTCGTGAGCATATTCAAGCCGAAGCAGCTGTTCGAATTAGTACAAGTACCATGGGTTGCAGATGAGTGACAGCCCTACAGTCGCGCTATGTTGACCATGATATTGTCCGACGGAAAATTGTTCAACACATTTCCCTGGGTATTGGACCCGAATGCAAGGAAGCCGGTAAGGGCCATGGTCAGGCACATGAGCAAAGAAACTCCGGTAGAGTAATGCGTGACCATGGCAAAGCGATCCATGGTCGGTTTCTTGAGCGATCCGTAGATAAGGAGGCTGTTATGATCTATCGGAGAGTCAGCACGATGAAACGTCGGGATGGATGCAGTGCAACATACGGCAGACGAAGGCTATACATAAATCAGACTATCAGCAAGGAATTCCTCTTGAGATCCAGGTTCAGTTGATTTAGACGCACCAAATGATATTACACCAACAGCCTGGAAAAATCCGGAATTCACCCAAAGCAAGCCCTTCACATCGCCGCGGGTCTTTTGAGGGACGCGGAATACTTGGGTGATCACAGCGACCACGATGACTATCATGCTTATCAATGCCAACGTCGATGCTTTCCCCAACTACTGATTTATCAGCCTTGGTTATTCTAGACGCGGGAATGTCAAATCGAACCTTAGCGATGTCGCGATACATTGACAGGGGATACGAAATGCCCATGACGAAAAGCACGATGATGGCCCGTCTATCGGTAAGAAGCCAAAGGAATGCCATATCTCGAAGGGAAGGAAACAAAGCGGTCAACACGTGTGGAATAGTATCTCCCACGATAATACAGAAAGCAATCATTCCACCATATGCAAAAGCCCATTGAGCAATTGAGATGGCAATAAGGCCACTTCTACCAAAGCAATGCTGCATCGTCGCCTGAAACGAGTCTGCGCCACTCAATTTGGAATTGACCACGATCAAACGAATTGTCCAGTCAACCGCGACGGTAAGCGCCGTTAAAAGGATTATTCCCATCATCATGCCAGACTGTCGAAGGGCGTACGACTGCCCAATGATTCCGGCCCCAATAATACTATTCGCCATGTTCATGAACGCCATCCGCATTCCACTCCTTGGTCTTGCGCTCTCCAGATGTTCTTCAGGGAAATAGTCTTCGGACGTTGCGAGTGTGACGCTGGGAGCTTCCATGTCTGTCAACAGAGGCATCATCGGCCCCCTGCCGCTTCTCTCTGACCTGTCGTGGTCCGCACGGGCATAATCCTCGTCGTCCAGCCATGATGAATCCTCTGAGACACGAGCATGGCGATCTGAGCAACTATCCCCTTCCGATTCATCGTCAAGGTCAAAGCGAACGCGATTTGTGGTGCGAGGAGTGCGACGCTGTCCGTCGGGGGCAGGTTGAGCAATCGCAGGACTGGGGGCGGAAGGCGAAATCGGGGATGGACTGACAGGAGCTGGGTGAATTACCAGGTCAGCTTCTCCGTCAGGGGTGTCAGTAAGCAAAGATTGCGATTCAAGCTCGTGCAGGCTCTGAGGCCCAGCCAGGAGAGGATCGCGTCCTTCATTCCTGGACATTGCTAATTGGTGGTCGCATGGTGTCTCATTCATTGTTCGCATTTGCCTGCGGAGAGCCAAGTAATCAGGAACGGCGCACGTGACATCTTGTCGATAAGCGTTCTATCTATAGCACATGCAATTCTACGGTAGGGAATAAAAAGAGAGATAACGAGAAGGAAAAACAGATGAATATTAGAGGCGGTTTGTCTGCAGCTGTCTATGTAAAGCCAAGTGGATAAACAGAAGATTGGTTGATATGACGGCTGTAACTTGCATCACACCCCAGATATATATCTTGCGGCTTGGCCTGTCATGTGCTAATCACACCTCGAAGCTATTCCTCTCATCTCCAACCCTTTGTGTCCTCAAACTTCCATTGCTCATTATCTGTCGAGCATGGAAAGCTACCTTTATTTATAGCCGATCGCCCAATGGCCCTCGAAATTGACCTAGGAACGACCGCTCTCAATTCCTTAGGGTCGAACCTGAACCTCACCCAATGTGCTACAGCTTTGATTCTCCCTCCCAACGACGCTTCGGACTTGATAGACACTACAGAGTTAAAGGAACAATTCGAAAAGGGAGAATTATGGGTGGACCAGGCCCCAGAGCTCAAAGTCCATATCTTTGTCGGTGTAGGGCCTGATCTTGCCCGCCCTGCCTCGACGTTCGTCTCGCAAATTGGGGAGATTTTCTGTCATTCAAAGGTACCCACCAGTGCTACCAGTCTTCAAAGTGCACTTACTGATAAATGGCATAGCTTTGGCTGGATTTAGGTCTCAACGTTCTCTTCAAAAGCTGCGATCATGGCGATAACTCGACGTTTCAGCTATATTTTGGACTGCGCAGAACAACAAAACGCCTGGCCACAAAAGCGTCACGGATACCAGCTAAGTTGCGAAGCACGCATGATGCCATTCCTCCCGACGGAATCCCGATTGCTCGATTGTCTACGATCTACATTTCCTTGGAATTCACTCGGTGCAACGAAAGGGTACAGCGGGATATAACTGGTTCCTCAGTTTCTGGGGGCTCATTTACAGAATTATTGGAGGCCGATATTCCACTGGAAAGATTCAGGAATGACAAGACTTGTGCTTTGATATTCGCAAAAACGTTTCAAGGGCTGGAGGAATTTTTCCAACTTCCTTTGCCCTCTCCAGAGCGTTGTCCACAGCTGCCAGAGAGTCCAAACATCGACTCTGAAAAGGGATTCCATACGTTATTCGACGTTGGTTTTCGCAATCTCATAGCCGACAATCAACGAGCAAACAAGGGGACCAAGAAATCTAAAAGCGAAGATTTCAAGTCCCTCTCAACAATTTCTCCTGCCGTCTTTAGCCTTGGATACCTCGAGGTGAGCATTTTCGAACGAAATGAGACAGAGTCCTAACTGACGACTCCTACGTACGATTAGGCCATGAACCAACGATCGCAATTAATATCATCCATCGCGAGCTCCATCGCGTCTATACTCGAGATTTCCAAGAACCCCAAACTGCGGGAAAAGCGAAACAACCTGAAATCGTCACGCAATCCTCATTCTCAGACCCAATTAGACCCGTCTACCGCAGGAGACACATCTACCGTGAGGACAGCACTAAAGCAGTCCCTCTGGCGAATCGCCCAGAAACAACTCTATAAGCCCGGAGCTTCGAAGAACCTGAGTCCGCTGGAATACGCGTCTTCAGATAAACGCTACCCGACACCAGAATACACTACCCTCTTAGACAACGAAGACGACGACACAGACTCCAACGACTCGGACTACTACCTTGGAACAGATATAGGCGAGCTCGAATTTGAATCCCTAGAAGAATCACAGGAGCGAAATACAAATGACGAGGAAGAATCAATCCTTTCCATCAAAGAGGATTACACAAACCTATCGATCGACATGCTCGGCAGTACGATCGACGAGAGCGAGAAAATGGACTTTGATGAACCAAAATTAGAGGATATACAACGCATAGACCAACATGTTGGATTCTATGTACCACCGCCAGCCTACTCCAATCAGGGTTTTCAGAGCGACAGCGAAATGCTTACGTCGGATTGTATCGAAGAAGATATGGTTTTGACGAGACAGAGCTCTCCCCCGACTGCCGCATCTACCAGTTTGAACAAGATTGCTGCCGAGGATTTCGATGATATGCTCTGTTAGATGAATATGTTAGTAGTGTATGTGATATGATCCATGGAACCTGGGAAAGACGACCGTGAAACCAAACAAGAAAAATTCATCGAGTCATCGTATTCAAAATAAGATATCTTATATCCTCTTCAGCCAAGCAGCTTTACGACAAATAACCAACCCTTATTATTCCAGATATTGCTATCATAAACATAACATTAATACAGAAAGATCACAAAACAGAAGTCCGACCACAGCGCATGTAACTCCTAAGAAGAATACGCCCATACAACCTCGGAAGCGTAGCACCATCTAATTGCATCAAGAGTAAGTGCGCTTAGAAAGCATTCACCCTGCTCACGGACGGTTGCAGATACCACTTGGTAGGCGAAGGACAATCTTCGTCATTGTCGAGACAGAGCTTTGGGCTGGCGGGAAGAGGCCAGGGAGGTGTTCTCAGGGTGTGGCTCAGATGTGTGAATTTCGAGACATCGAACTCTTCAATGAATTTCTCATCAAGAAGACGAGACTTGGGATGCGAAAAACTCAGATATTCGGGAATGATCGTGTCAAGACTCCAACCTTGAAGCTTTCGCAAACAGGAAATAACGCAACCGGTACGATGCTTCCGACAATGTTAGCTTTGCCATCAACAGTGTAGGAGTCTGTAGCTTACCTTGCCCTTATTGCAATGTACTAAGACGGGCTGGTTGTTTCTATTGACCAAGATTTCTAAAACCCTCGCGATGACAGAGTCGGGAGACCTCGGAATCAACTCTTTGTTTGGCTGTACTAGGATTCGATGGTGGGTGATGTTCCCTTCCCTGAGAAAGGCTTCATGAGCAGGGGAGTAGGGCTCGTCAACGAGTGTCCTGCCATACTGTCAGAACAGCTGTCATAAAAGACGAAAAACATGAATACAGGACCAACGTACACAATAGTTTTCAGCCCAAACTTCTTCATGGCCGGAAGATGGTGCGCTTGCGGGAAGGAACTGCGATATATGCCACTCATCACTTCAGCAAATTTGTCCGGCAAATCTGGTTCGTTTTCAAAGGATGAGCCTCGATCATGGGTTCTCTCTGTCAGATCAGAACTTGGGTTAGTCAAAGCATTGCAAAGCTAGGAAAAGGAGGAAGAAAGTCGGTAACAAAAGGACTGCGCGGTTTGCACTCACCGACTTGGCTATTGGGAAAGACGTGCGACTGGTTATCCAGCCGATGTGAAGCCATGATTTAGCTGAATGCAGAGAATGTAGCAAATTCGTATGTGTCGATGCGCGATGCAAGATGATCGAAATGCGAACGGTTGGTTAAAAACGAGAGACGAGATGGTAAACGCTCGAAGAAGCGCGACTCGCGTGGAAGGCAGCAATTTCGACCAACCCACGGGAGCCTCCAAGTGACGAAAAAGACCAAGGATCTAGACGAGCCTGGATAAACAGGGCTGGATTGGGGGAATGAACGGGATGCTAAGTAGTAGCCATTTTGACGAAGTCTTCGAAGACAGCGAAGTGGATGCTCAAAGACCACAAGGAGTTGAAAGAGAAGCTTGCCTTGAATAAATCAAGGCAAAGAGAGAGTGACAAGAGCTTTGTTTGAAAGAAAGAGAAGAAAGAGAGGAAGAAGGAAAGAAACAGGGCACAGGGCGGTGAGGCTATAGAAATAGGAATATCTACTACAACCAAGCCTGTTTAGGCAATAACGTGACTTCTGGCTGCCTTTCAGTGAAGAGATTAACCAGAATGTCATCTTGCCACATTTACCAAACAGATGGCTTGGTCTATGTTTAGAACCTTTCTTCTTTTATGATTCTATCGAATCCCCTCCCCCCCCCCCCCCCCCATTGACAACATGCTACGACGCTTCTTCTCCAAGCCCAAACATCTTTACCGAATTCCTCCAGGCACTGCGAAATAAGGTCAGCAAGAGAAACGATAACGATTGAACAAGCTCCGTATACGTACGCCTCACAAACTTCCTCCACAGATATCCCCTTGACACTAGCGATGACATGTGCGACTTGAACAATAGCGACTGGTTCGTTTCGGCCTTTGACCATCAATCCTTTTTGCCATTTCTCCTTCTTAACCGCCTTGGGCAACGGTGGTGCACCCATCAAGTGCTTGGACGACGCATGAGAAGGACGGATCTCGCACTGTATATTGTTAGCAAGGATAATAATTGGATTGAGGGTGGAATGCAAGATGTCGCTTACCCAGGGACCATCCGTTTCGATCTGAATTTGATCCAAAGGAATGGCCTTCACCACTTCAAGGTTCTCCTCCGTCTTCAGACTACAGCCGTTGACACCAATATCGAGACCCAAGTCCACCATTCGCTGCATTTCTTCCAAGGTTCCGGTAAAGCTGTGTACCAATCCCCTTTTCGGGAGCTTCGCCAACCTTGGAGCGATCAGCTTCTCAAAGTCTTCACTGGCAGCGCGGGAGTGTAGGAAAAGCGGAAGCTGGATGTCCACTGCAAGGTCCAGCTGAGCTTCGAAATATTTGAGCTGTGGTTCCTTGGCACTAAGGAATAGTCGATCGTAGTCCAAGCCAATCTCGCCAAAGGCTACAACGTGTCCGGCTTGCTTCGACTCCAGAGCCAGGGTCTTGAGCTCCTCGAGCATTTTCGAAGGACCACCGGGGAATTCGTCGAAGGTCTTTGCCTGGCAAGGATGCACACCGACAGTTCCATAGCAGAAACCAGCTATAAGTTGAAATCGTTAGAAGAGCCGAACAGGAGAGAGAGCGGCTGGACTCACAGTAGTTGCGAGATAATTCCATGACATGGCGAGACTCTTCTAGGTCAGAGCCGGTGACCATGAATTTCTCGCATCCTACATCGCGCGCACGTTGGATAATGTCATCCATATCACTGTCGTGAACTTGTCTTCCATGATATTCTCCCTGGAAAACGGGATCACTGAGGTTGATTCCAATCTGGCCCAAAATTAGTTACGGCACCCCAATTACAGCCTTCCAGAGTATACTCACATCCACATATCTTAAAGGCTTACTGGAGTCACTCATTTTGGCGGTAGAGAAAGCACGAGAAGTAGAGAAAGATTTTTGATTGATCAAAAGATGGAAGAAAGGTCTACCAGCGAAAGCTGCGACAGCGGTGAGTAAAGGTAATATGGACACTACAGCTTCCACGGAAGAAACCTCCGTATTATACACCAGACCGGATATGAGTCAACTCGAACATACCTGAACTATACAAAGGCAACCGTGGAAGAAACGAATTCTTCCCCTCTCTGGCTCCAACACGGGTCAAGCCGATGCTTCTTGAGACTTTATTACCTACAGCGAATGCTAAACGCATAGAAAAAGCAATCCTAAGCCGTGGTCCTAGTACACCTTTAACCAGTATTTTGATATTTGTACAGACGGACGATGCGTCGAAATCGGTGATGTCTGTTCGGTGAATTATTCAGGGATGAGTCATCAAGCACATGACTTCATTTGGGTACTTGTAGAAACTAAAGCCTAATTGAGACTAGCGCCCGTCCCGACTTTAGTGCCCTACGTAGATCATGTATTCTATGTTCTTGAAGGTCTGCCAGATTCTGACTCAAACAAGAGAATTGCGAGTTGAAGCATCCATATCAGAGCGCTTTTATTAAGGCGTTATTTGGTAACTATATCCAAGTCTCGAGCGCTACAGCAACAAGTTTCAAGAAACGAACCCACCTGATCGGTAGTCTTGCTCGTCATGTACCATGTAGCCCTCCCATTTACTCTCATCAAGAATGGGATGCCACGCAACCCTATTTACGAAGAGTTCGATATCCTCGGCAGCCTATTTCCAACCCACTTCGGCACAACAGTTATCGGACCATTTCTGGTCATTCACGTGAAAAACCTGCCCCCGCAACCATGGCCGCTGACAGTAGCAGGACTGCCACTATACTTCATGACGGAAAACGCTATCATTCCGTGAGATATCGGAGCTCCTGTGAATTTGACATACCGTATTCTTGGAGAGACAGATGGTCGCAATGGGTGTACCGAGGATTCATATCAGGAAGTACTCTCGTTCTTGGAACGACAAAAGGTCGAAATCGTGGAACTCGCTTGGTTCTGTGTTTACTGGCAAGTCAGAGTAGCTGGAGACATAGATCATACACCACTACCGGGATATATACAGAAAACGGCAATATTTTATCACATGGACGAAACATCGGCCGAGGAGCACACTGCTCAACACACGAAGACACGCGAGGGCACCAAAGAAACCAGCAACCCGTTCCAACTACGCCTCTTTGATCGTCTTACGATAGACACACCATCCACACGCCAGGTTGAAGGTCAGATTTTGGCCGTAGCCAAGAAACGTGTACATTGCGAAGGTCCCGCAGGATATCAATGGATGGAGCAGATCTGGTGCTGGTTTGGTCAAGAGGCTATTGATGTTGAAGAATGTCATGGGGTACCATTACGGGACAGTGAAGGACATGTGTTTGTGTCTTTAGTTGTCCTGACAGTAACAATTTTGGGATTGTGGATGCGGTATAGGGACTCGTGGAAAATGGTTTCAGCTTTGGTGAAAGGTGGATCTTTTTACTTTGCTCTGAAATAAGATTGCTTGTTCTAACGCCATGAATAGGTTCTAATGTCCAAGGACTGCTACAGATGCCCTCGTTTACATTTGCAAGAAATACGACCGGTGAGAATCCCGACATACTCGGCGATCCACCGAGTCCATCCAGTTACCGTTCGGGGTATCAACACCGCGAGACATAATTGATATTCATTCTCGCAGATTATTAACTAGAATGATACTGACTAGCAGTAAATTAAAAGCCGATATGTGCCCTGAATTTTAACAGAATAACTTATCTTATCTAGAAGAAGGATAAACAATGGTCGAGCCGGGGAAGAGACCGATACAAGTGGGCCCGATCTTCTCCGCATTTCCAATTCGCGGGGAACGGACAGAGAGTGAGTGTTTATTAATGCATGCGATTTCCTGGTCTTGGATTTCTTTCTATATTCTTCTTTGATTTGAATGGCCATTTATTGCTATTGAGAAATCACAATGGCTGGAAAACTGCTCTCTGTTGAGCAAATCGCGGGCCACAACACGCCCGAAGATTGCTGGATCGTGGTAGATAAACAAGTATGGGACGTGACGGATTTTTTGGAGGAGCATCCTGGGGGCTCTACAAGTACATGTCTACTTCCTAGACGATCAAGATAATATGTTGATAAACAAGTCTAGTTATCCTGAAGTATGCCGGTCGCGACGCGACAAAAGCCTACTCCGAAGTCCACGCCCCCAGCGTCCTGAAATCGAACCTCCCACCAGAGAAACACATCGGCCTTCTCGACAAATCGACCATCACCGACGACTGGCTCAAAGAGCCCCCGAGAGCTAATCCCCAGCTACTCCTTGAGCATGAAAAACCGCCCCTCCACACCCTGATCAACTCGCACGATTTCCAAGTTGTCGCGTCCAAGACCGCCAGTCCCAAGACGTGGGCGTTTTACTCCAGCGCAGCTACCGATCTGTTTACACGCGACGCAAATAAGTCATACTTTGATAGGATTTGGTTCCGACCGCGGGTGCTGAGGAATGTGCGGGAAGTTGATACAAGGTCGACGATTCTGGGTGTTGATAGTAGGTTGCCGTTGTTTGTGAGTCCGGCAGCTATGGCGAAGTTGATTCACCCGGATGGAGAGTGTGCGATCGCGCGGGCTTGTGAGAGTAGGGGAATTATGCAAGGCGTACGCGCCTCTTTTTCTTTGCGTTGGCTTGTGTGCGCTGGTTGACTGATTGCAGATATCGAACAATTCGTCCTACACGATGGACGAACTTCGGGCCGCTGCACCATCGGGCAACTTCTTCTTTCAGCTGTATGTCAACAGGGACCGTGCGAAATCTGCAGCACTCCTGCGACAATGCTCCGCCAATCCCAACGTCAAAGCCATCTTCGTGACAGTCGACGCATCCTGGCCTGGCAAACGAGAAGCGGACGAGCGCGTCCGCGCAGATGAGAGCTTATCAGTTCCGATGGCACCATCCCAAGCGAAAAATGACAAGAAAGGCGGTGGTCTAGGCCGTGTAATGGCAGGGTTTATCGACCCGGGACTCACCTGGGAAGATCTGAAATGGGTGCGACAGCATACGCATCTCCCCGTGTGTCTGAAGGGTGTGATGTCAGCGGACGACGCCATGCTAGCCATGAAAGCGGGGTTAGACGGGATTCTACTTAGCAATCACGGCGGACGGAATCTAGACACCAGCCCACCATCCATCATCACGCTTCTAGAACTGCACAAACGATGCCCGGGGATTTTCAATAGGATGGAGATCTACGTAGATAGCGGGATTCGCCGGGGGACTGATATCCTCAAGGCCGTGTGCTTAGGCGCGACGGCCGTGGGAATGGGTCGGAGCATGCTCTTTGCGACGAACTATGGACAGGAGGGAGTGGAGCATTTGATCGATAGTAAGTCGCCGGCCCTTTGGTTCCAAGTCGATAGTACTGACCAGTCAGTCATGCGCGATGAATTGGAAACAGCGATGCGCAATACGGGAATCACGGGGTTGGATGAGGCTAGTCCGGGTTTGGTGCATACGGGGGATGTCGACCATTTGGTCCCTGATTCGGCCAGACATCCGTACGCTCGGGCGGTGATTCGAAAGCGTGCAGCGAAGCTGTGAAATACCAGCGCAGATTGCAGATAGGACCAACACGTGTTATCCGCTTGTTGTTTGAACATACATACAGAGTAGTAGTATGTAGTAAGTAGAATGCGGCCGCCTCAGTCATGCTGGCTCAATGCAACCAGCCCACATATTCTAATTCGCATTTCCGGGGCGGGCTTGAACCCCTGTCTAAACCGAATAAACTATCACAGGAACATTCTCCTGTTGAGAAAAGGAACTCTCCGAGATCTCAAAACGGAAAGTTACGGTGACATTAGATGAGACCACGTCAGACAAATTATGTTATGTTCCTGGCTGTACGCTGTAGAATTGGATACAGGATGGGATGATCTGCTCACGTGTCTTCACCGCTCTCAACGTTGAGATGTGTCATCCTGACGCAGCCATTGGCCATTAGCCAGTGTTCTACGGAGTAGTGCCATGTATTATTATGCAATGCAGGATTGAGGGGAAGTGAGCAGACTTATTCGGGTCGAGGACTCCGTACGGAGAACGGAGTAGAGTAGGTTGAAACCCGGAGATTGTAGTACGGTCTGACAGAGTACGGAGTAAGGACAAACACTAATAAGATGTTTAATAAGAAATAGAATAGACTAAATAACTCTAATAATCGAATGCTAATGCCAACAGTCATACTCAAAACTCCGAGGTCTAAAGGAAGTCTTTCCGCGAGTGCTTTCCGAACAATACGTGGGGAAGCATAACCGAGAACCAGTCGACTGCGGAGGATCGCCCTGTAGAAAAGTCAAGAGTGTAGTCATAGGATTACCAGAATAATTACTTTGCTGCTATTCTGAAAGACATAAATACCCTCGTTATTCTCTCTTTCATTGCCCTCATCTTCTCTTCTTCGCACGTATCAATCTGTCCTCCTACTATACTGAGCTCTACTCAGTACATCGCATCACTCTAGCATCGACCGGGCCAGATCCCCCCACCGATCTTCCCAACAACAGGCATTGGCATTCATTGCTGTTTTATCTCCTTTTCGTCATCTCATAAATAGCCATCCCTCTCATCTTTTCAATTCTGCATTCTCATCTTCTCATCTTTGCATTTACATTTTCACTTTCACTCACGTCATCTCTGATTCTCTACATACCACAATGGCTGCTCCCCGTTCGTCTTCGTTGCGTGCCCTGCGCATTCTCTCTCAGCAGAACCCGGCTACTCCCTGCCTTCGTCGGAACCTCCACATCACTGGCGCTCAGTCTGCCCAGCCTGCCAATGTCGCAGACAGAACCTCTCTGTACTCTGCTCAGACTCTTCCCGATCTCAAGTCGGAATGCAAGAAACGGTCTCTGACTGCTGGCGGTAGCAAGAATGAGGTAAGCCCGTGTCTACGCTTGGGGTTTTGAACGTTATGCTAATGTAACCACAGCTTGTTGAACGTCTTGCCAACCATGACTTCCTCCAGTCCCGTGCTTTCAGCATCGCCATGAGAAGAATCAACGGCAATGCCTTCGCAGAGTATGTATTCCTCGGTTCACCCTCAATCACAAGCTCAACTAACACACCCGTGATTAGCAGCGCCAGCCGTGAATTCAACACCTCCCGCTCCCAGAAAGCCGTCAATGACTCATCTACCGTCGACTTTGCCTACATGCCCTCGATGGAAGAGCTCCATGCGTCGGCCCCTAACCCCGGCCCCCGCATCCCGATCCTTCCCGACCTCTACAAATCTGCCGAACCCGCCCTGACCACTCCTACCGCGGCCACCGGCAACTACCCGCCCATGAAGCCCCAGGTTTACACCGTGGCTGGCTCCACCTCCGACGTGGCTGCCAGTCCCCTGTCGGAAGTTGTGGACAACCATGCCGTGGACATCGACCCGTTCTCGCTGACTGAGACGGTCGGGCGATCGCGTCTGGGTGAGATGCTGCAGCGGCAAGGCGGGTTTTCTTTTAGGAGTTCTCGCCAGCCCGGAGAAAAGGGGGTGATTGGGGAATTAATGAGTTCCATGGTGGAGGACATTTTCCCTAAGCAGCTGCGGAAGTAACGGATACCCGGGATGACTTTCTTTTGTTACTTTCGCGTTTGTCATTAGCGTTTATGATTTAATAGCCTTGGCGGTTGTTCTGTTCCTTTCTTGTGTTGTTATGGTTAGGGATTCAATAATACCAATTACCGCCGATTGACGGACTATACTACTGTTTCCAATATGCAAGTACACAGAAGTAACCACCGGAGTACACTACATACTCCGACAAACGATCAGACCACCGACCAACGTCCGAACAACGTTGGTCTGACGTAGATCAGTGAACATCCGAGATAATCGACCCAAAATGACGGGCAGAGTTCGACTCCGTTTGCCCGACAGGTACAGGCACAGGGGGGGGCAGCCGCGGATTGATCAGTGCCGCCCGTTGTCTGGAGATAATTCGGACCGCGGAACAGGATCAGATAACAATCTTCCGCGGATGATAATCACGGGATTGATTGTGAGGAGTAGAGTGCTCCGTACAATGTACCCCTGTTAGGAGGGAGTAAAGTATTAAGGCTGAACTGTGTCTGCAGTGCAAAGAACTACTCCGACGTCCCGATCTTCTCCGATCTGAGTATGATGACATGTGAATCAGCGAAGATGTACAAGGACTGTTTTGTCTGTTGCATATGATGATGATGATATGGCTGTTGATAGATGGTAGATAGGAATTTGCATATGCAAACAGCCATTGTTGGAGCAGATGAAGTGACGTACTATGTGCAGAGTAAAATCAATGAATGAGTCTCGGTACCCTGCATTGTGACTAGGGCTGTCGCTTTGTACTGTCTGGCTGTAGTTGTATGGGGTGTTTGTATCGCTCATCGCGTTCTAATAGAATACTCTGTCCATATCGGTCTCTCCTCTAGAACTTCCACTTCGTCTACTCATCTATATACTCTCCATTCTATATACACACCAAAATGAACAAAAAACGATATTTTTCCTTTTTATCTCGCAAGACACTAAGTGTTTTCGGGTTTTTATACCTTTGATGGTTTTCCCGGAGCTCTTCCCAGGTACTACCTATATCAGCCGACTGTCGTTAGCAGAAGACCGCGACGAGATCTACGTGCAGTTTACAGAGTGGGGGAAAGATTACGGCAAATATCCGAGAGAATGAAGTCTCACTAAGAGTCGCGGTACGAAGATGAGCAGCACGTTCAACCCGCTGGTCGTTCTCGCGTCTGAGGTGAACTTTCTTTCTATTGCGGCGATAGGTCGTCTTCGCGTGGATGATGACAGTTTGCTTCGAAGCTGAATGCGTGGGCCTACACGCACTTTGGATATGTTGTACGATTCGAATGTTTCTGGAATGGGTCTTGCTGTCTATCCAGAGTGATATGACATCGGGTGCTTGGTGTGCCGTCGTCTTATCTTGGACTATACTGGAGAAGACATCCAGGACACGGTAAGTCAGTTGGAAATATGAACGAGAAGCCATCAACGCGTTATAGTACTACGAGATACCCGGTATCGTGGAAGACACCAGGGATCTGAGAGCGAAGAGCCCAGAGGGAGAAGTTGCTGGCGTGTGGGTGAGCATCCACTGCTCTGCTAAGTGTCGATCGAACAGCAACAAGTGTCGATACCCACCCTGGACCGGTCGTTATGTATACGACCCTGTGACATCGTCACCGAATGGTCCCAGACACTCTTATGTCAACGAAAAGCTCTCGTTTCCGCTAACCATTTCCTGTGGTATGAGTGCTTTCGTGATATACCATACTATCAGCGGACCTACTGCTAACTGTTGGCTGGATAGGAACAAGCTCCGATTTGTGACCGGCACCGCCACTGCCCCTGGCGGTTATATCTTTGCCATATATTCGATGGGTTCTCACGCCGTACCAACTAAAGAACCCCATCTCTTTTGGTTCTCGGTACGCTCGACATCATGATCTTCGACAACTAGAGGATCTGGCAAATGCTTCGATCTTTTGATGGACACTGAAGGGTTAGAATGCTGACGCTTTACTGTTATTTAGTATAGCGAACCAAGAATGAATATACACACGCTAGTCCTTCCCCTTATGATGCAGTTTCTCTGTGTCGCAGGGACAGAACCACTTTGCGAAGCATCAGTCTCCGTGCAATGACGGCACTAGTTCTCGAAGAATACTTGCGACGTAATACTTGACACTTCCTCATGCAGGCTTCCTTGTTTTTCGTTCCTTTTTGTGCCTCGATTCACACGGCTTGTGAAATTATATACTCCTAGTCAGGATGTTCCGAGGACCGGACAAGAGGGAGCGGAAACTTTCTCCTGAGAGTATAACGGTTTACGCTCTAGATCCGGGCTGAACGTGTACTGTGACAACTAGTCAGTGGATGGCGTGTAATTTAGCTTTATATAAAAACTTCACGGGGAGTTCAGCGTAAGTCACCATCTTACTCTCCTGATTTGATTAATTTCTCGATATTGATGTTTCATCGGTTTGTGACTGTTATAGTAATTGACGGGCACGAACTCTATCCTGGGTTCGCCAGTTAATACTAGACACTTGAGGCGCGGAATCATGTGTCACAGCTCACTATGACCCAAGTCAGAAAAATAGTTGGACATCTTGTTCAAATTCTCCTATATTGAACATCGGACATTATTGCAATGTTGGCGATATTTTCCTGGATATTAAAACGACACCCATGGACCCCGAAGGCTGGCCTTCTTGGACACTTCCGTGCCTGACCTGACTAGGGCTCGACTGTCAGCAATCCTAGGCTTGTTTCGGGATTGCCTGGTGAGTTGCGACTGTCCCAAAAAGATTCAGGAGACAAAGGTAACTAACTCGAATTATCATATGTAGGAACTCCCTTGCGCATACTCTGGTTCCGAAAACAGAGAGCTCGATGTGTAATGACTCCCCTTTTGCCTAACTCTCCAGCCTACAAGCTAGATGACGCCCGTTCGCTCCATGGAGAAGGCTGGAGAGGGAAATGGCAGCTTACGTTCACAGGTATGCTCGGTATAATCGACAGTTGCTTGCACAAACATGACAAAAGGGAATGACACTTCCACGAATAGAAAATTGAAACGTAAGTTAAGTCATCAGCCGTACTGTTCAATAAAACGTCTGAGCTGGTCTGAGAGGTTTCCAATGGGCTGACGCTGCATTATTACTAGAGCCGATCTTTACGTGTCCTATATAAAATCAAATATCTGAAGATTTTTCCGTCGAAGCATTAGTCCGTTGCTTTTTTTTTTCGATCTCATGTCTGGATCAATTGAAGGTTAGCATATATTGTATTGTACTTGGGTTAGACGCTGTGCTGACTAGCGCTTAAGCACCTCCCTACATGATTTCGACCTCCTTCAGCAAGCCATCATCGATCTGGTTAAGCATTGAGAGTTGGCCATCAAGCACCTATAAATCCTGCGACAGAGCGAAATTGGCACCGAATGACATTATATCAACACTAGAAGCCGATACATGAACGTCGAATTCAGGACTGAACGTTATAGGGCGTATGAGGAAATGAATACACTGCATATGTGCCAGGTGACTGTAGGTATGTGCGCGCGCATCATGACAGATAACGAGCAATGTGGTACGTCCCTATGGCACTCAAGCGCTTAGCTCTATGTATCCATCTCTTGATGAGATGATTCATCTTGGATTGGAACATGTCACTAACAGCTCATCCAGTTCCCGAAACCCATCCTTGTCAGCCTCGATAACAGCAAGCAGAAGAGTTTGGGATAGATTTATCTCACTCATCCGGCGAATATCCAGAATCTTCCCACAAAGTTGTCGCGGTAACTCACATTATCGATTGGCATCCTCTTGAGACCGGCGTGACCAGTACTAACGCTCTGTTGGTCCCTCTGGAATTGGCATTCGCGCGCTGTTGCTAATGATCAATACATTCCTTCGGTTACCTGGCGTCTATGTGGTCGAATAGAAAAACAGGACGGTGCCCCTGTTCGAGTCTATTCCCAGACACCATGGATTGAAAGTATGCCGGGGATTGGAAGAGCGTCCCAGATAAAATCCGACAAGTGTTAGAACCGTATTACCAATGACCCGATCGCTTTGTCCAATTTCTTCACAGAAAGTGTCATGGTGTACCGAATGAGCTGGATGTCCAATCCAGGTTCGTCCAGGACGCATCCCAAGGATGCAATCTGTTTCTTTTATGACAAATTCGAACCAGAATGCAAGAACACAAGCCCCAATGCGTTCCCTGGAAGCTGCCGTGAAATCGACGAGAATGAGCAGCAAAAGCCAACCGAGCAAAATGGCGAGTCCTCAGCCCTATGTCTCCAGATAAATTCCTCAACTAGACCGTTTCTCCTATGACAGGATCGAATGTCGCGTCATGATGCCGAAGGACGGGTGCAAAACTACCTCGAAAATCTTGACCCACATCTCCGGGGTTTCGATGGAAAAAGACTGAGGGATGCTTCATGGGAATCAGCATGGCACATGCAAAAAAGATTCGCGATATTTATGAAGATGGAGGATATGTCCTTTTACATATTACACCGTTGCTTCCCGAATAGCATCGTGGCTTCTGCGCCAACTGCCACTTCGGCAGTCTCGGAAAACGTTGCAACCTGCCCTATGTACAATAATACCCGAGAGGTTAATAACGGAACCATTTCCCCCCGACAGGACCTGGTCAACGGACAATGGGAACTCCAGTGCTCACTTATTGTCAGGATTGGATGACGTCTATGTCACACTCTCCTCCCTAGCAGAGACTCTGACAGCAGGGTACCTACGGTACATTGTTGGAATCAACGAAAGACGACCGAATCTTGCGGACAGTTTACCCTTGGGAGATGTTAGCGGGATGACCGCCACTCCCCTTCACATACGATAAAGCTCGCATCCTTCATAAGAAATGAGTCCTGTGTGAAATTATCATGGTGTACTACCAAAGAGGGATGACAGTTCTGCCATTACTAGCCAACTAATGGCTGCATCGATATGACTGCATTCCAGAAACGCAAGTCACACCAGACCAAGTCTGTCAACATGGCTTGATACGCTTCGAGAGCAGATGTTTCCCCAGCAAGTACAAGAAAAGGAAAAAAATTCTCGTATGTTTCCCTTTCAGGCGGCTCAAGCCATCATAACTCTATAGAATACTGATGATTCTGAATAGAGATTAGAAAGCGTCAGGTCTGTAAGTCCGTGGGCCTCGCTTACGCTTCTTCTCATTGCCTGTTTTGGCATCGGGGAATCCGCATGGCGTCGTTTATATCGCCACCCCTAGCTATGGTCGGAGCAAATGCAGTTTGAATATAATTCCGTGAGGCGAAAAGGACTACCAAGCAAACAACAACCCTGCACTGCTCCCCCAATACGACTTCGACACAATTCAGAACAATGTAAGTTACCGTTACTGTGTCATACAATGGATCGAGGATGGAATTCCATTTTTCAGATAGAAAAAGTGATACTGACCTTGGACAGACTCGCAAGACTTATGATAAAGATTGAGAACGAATCAGTGCCCCCATTGAGTTGCCTATTTACCATGGGTGGATAACTGTGACAGTGCTTATCGATGGGGTAGTTGTCCTGAGATGACAGGGCTCTTCCACGGATTTGAGTTGATTTGGAAAATTTCTATTGTCCGCATCGAGGTATGTTATCACAGCAATCCTATAATAAATAGAAAAAGCAAAAACTTACTTCTTATCAGGCAAAGCGACGACACGCAAGTAGGCGTGCCTAGGCATAATGGGATTTACCTCGTCAGGATTCTCGTGATGGATCGCGTGGAACACGTTCAAACGAGTACCACCGATTCATCAATGAGCATCAAGGCGTACACGAAGTCACAGAATCTGTGTTGGAACTTTTCAGCAATGAAATAAAGGGTCTCGAGGGTCGGGAAGTTTCGAAAACAACGCTTGACGAGATCCGACAGAAGCAATTTCATGATAAGCCCTGGGATCAGCCTACTGCATAACTTCCCACTCAATCGCCCAAGACGGCCCAGAAGTTCCGTTCCTTCGCGGCAGGCGGGGATCGAGTCCGGCCAATCCGTGGACAACAATACCAGTACAACGGGCATGTTGTTTACTTCCTACGAGACACTGACCGAGTCTACAACGCTTGACTCAAGCCCGAAAGTACAAAAACCCGTCATTATCGCTTTTCACATGCTAATACCATTAGATTACATATATACCGACGCAAGCACGTCCAGTCTCAGAGAGCCTTGAACAGAAACTTTCTCTTGCATTCAGACTATCAGACTTCACTGTCTATGGCGGCTCCTTCGCCCGACTTGTCGCTTCAACTGGCTCGGATACCCTGAGGCTGTTGTTGCTCAAAATGCCACCTGTTTCGAGGCTCGAATTACTAGAACTTTTGTCAACAAATCAATTCCAACCTTAAAGCACATCCTATGCGAACACCATGTCATTGGCTATTATGCTCAAAAAAAAAAAAAAAAAAAAAAAAAAAAAAAAAAAAAAAAAAACAACCGAACCTTCTGTTAGTACTCCATCAAATAGTTAACTAGAGCACGGGAAGAGAGAAATGCAGCCTTAGCTTTGTGTGCACATGATTGCTCCATTTAGGTAGTGAAATGATAGCATGTCAGTCCAAATCTGTGTCATTCTCCCTTTCTATTCTGCAACTCTAGATATCCGCCAAGTGTACCTGACCCATTGTGTTGCCACTGGGGTCCTGTACTCTGTAGTTACTCTGCACCTCAGTTGTAGTTGGATAATGAGTAAGCGCACGTGATGGTCCAGACACAGACCGAACATGGTTCACAGCGGCGGCAAAAAACGAGTGAACAGATCAATTGTGAGGGGCCAATGGGAGTGGCAACCTGCAAGATGGTGAATCCGCCGAGAGGGACCACAGTTCTTCTGGCCATAGAACGGCGTTCCAGACCTGGCGATGCGCTGAGTTTGACCTGTACGGTCTGAGTGTTTGCGTATGCCATTTGTATATACTTGTACTGTTTATACTGATTTATATGTCCATTCTAATCTACTCATTTCACACATTTAGATGGTTATGCACTTGGCCCCGACTAGCTGTCAGTGACATCATGTGTTCAGGGGGACTGCACCAACCGCCTAATTGGGTTTGGTGTGAAAAAGATCTTCACGTTTCCACCCGACCGGGAATAGTGTCTTCACTGTTCTGGAGAGCCCCGCCGCATTGGCAGTCTCCTATTGGGTGTGCCGTGCATAGTACCGAACTCTATTATTATCCCCTCTTTCCTTTTTATGTCTTTTCTTTGTACGGAGCCAGCTGTATATATTCCTTTCTTTTGCTATTTGTCTGTTTCAATCCGTCTTTTATTCGCTATTTTGCATCTCACTCTCATTCGTTTTTCTGTGTTTCAGGTTGCTTTCTTTCTTTGCTGTTTGTCGATCATTTATCCCAAGTCGCTTGCATTAACGCCCTGAGCCTGTTATAACGAGGCTGGCCTCTGGCTCTCGTCCCTCATTCCTCGTTTCCAATGCCTTCTTGAATCTATAGATTGTTGTGCATAGACTACTGTTCATTATACCGCCGCCATGCGTCTCACAGCGTCCCTCCTCGCCGCCGCTTCCCTCTCCACCTCCGTTACGGCCTTCTACCCCTACCAACTCAACACTGAAGTCTCCATCGGCAATTCCCTTCTGTCCAACCTCCGTCGTCGCTTCATGCCATGGAAACTCCAACAAGATGACACGAAAGACTCAGACTCCCAGGGGTCATCCAACCTCCTAACCCTCGACCTCCAAAAACTCCCCGTCCGCCGCGACAACAACTACAAAGTTGTCATGTCCGACCCCCCGTCCCAATCCAACAGCGCCGCCGTCGACCAGGACGGAAACGACTTCTCATACTTTGCCGTGGTGCAAGTCGGTTCGCAGAAGCAGAAGATGCGGATGTTACTGGACACGGGGGGAAGTGACAGCTGGGTGTTTTCCTCAGACTGCTCGAGCACAGCTTGCAAGCAGCATGATAGCTTTGGGGAGGATGCTTCGGATACTCTGCAGATAACGAATACGGCGTGGACGGTGCAGTATGGGACGGGTACGGTGAATGGTCTTGTTGGGTGGGATACTATTACCATCGCGGACTTGACGGTCAACATGACTTTTGGGCTGGCGTCGAAGGCGTCTGATGATTTTCTGTCGTATCCGATGGATGGTCTGCTGGGCTTGAGTCGGTCGAATGATACTGGTTTCGGGACTCCTACGTTTATGGACTTTGTGCAAAAGGAGAACATGCTGGAGTCGAACATTGTCGGGTTCAGTCTCTCTCGGGGGTCTGACGATGACCAGGATGGAACTGTTACCTTTGGCGGTGTCGATAAGTCCAAGCTGGACGGTAACATTACCTACACTGATACCATTTCCTCGAGCAACCGCTGGGAAATCCCTGTCGACGACGTTACCGTCGACGGCCAGGCCTGTAACTTCACCGGAAAGGGTGCCATCATTGACACGGGCACATCGTACATGATGCTTCCTCCTGACGATGCTAAGACAGTCCACTCCCTCATCCCCGGTGCCACATCGTCCGGCCAAAACTTTGTCCTCCCCTGCGAATCGGATGCTGAAATTCGCATCACATTCTCTGGCGTTAGCTACAACATCTCCCCTAAAGACTACGTTGGACAGAAAGCCGGCGATAACTGCGTCTCCACTATTGTCGGGTACCAGTCTTTTGGTGATGATGAGTGGCTTGTGGGTGATGTCTTTTTGAAGAATGTCTACTCTGTCTTCGACTACGACAACGACCGCATCGGACTCAGTGGTAGAAAGGGTGAGACGGCGCCTGTTGTCACTTCCGAGGAAGATGCGGAGGAAGCCGATAGTGTCGAGGGCTCGGATGCAGGTAGCGAGGCTGAGACTGCCTCGTCATCTGGGTCTGGTTCTGATGATGCTTCTAGCAGTACTTCGTCGGGTAGTGCTGCTAGCTCGACAGATGTTGATTCTGCTGCTGTGGCCAGGGTCCCACGCTTCGGTTTGCCAGTTCTGCTGGTGGCCTGCATGTTCTGGGTGTAATCCCGAACACCTCTCATTTGCATCCGGTACACGGGGATGTTTTTCTTTCTTTCGCTTGTCTTATACTATCGTTTATCTGTACAGGGGCATACCCATACATTCTTCGTCGTACATCTTATATACATTCGTTTATTTCATTTGCACCTGGCAAATGGATTTGTTCTCAAGAGTGGATATTTACTGATCAAAATATAAATTTTCATTGTCCGTCATTCATTATCCAGGCGATTACAGCACTTTATCCGGGATCAAGTTGTACGACTTGGGGTATGATTCTGCCAACATTAGTATCCAAATATCGCATCAGGTAGAAGGGTGCTTACCCAGAATGTCCTTCTCAAACTCCTCAACCTTATTAAACCCACCTACACCCATTAAAATATCCAAATCCGCCAACAAACTCTTCATAACATGCCTCACCCCCTCTTCACCCATAATACTAAGTCCCCAAACCCAAAGTCTCCCCACAAACACAAACTTCGCACCAAGCGCCAGCGCCTTGACGACATCACTCGCACCGCGCACTCCAGAGTCGAACATGATATACAACTTGTCGCCAACGGCATTTACGATGTTCTCCAGTGCGTCAAGGCTAGCGATTGCGCCGTCAACCTGTCGACCTGCGTGGTTACTCACGACGATCCCGTCGACGCCGTACTCGACGCACTTCTTCGCATCCTTGACAGATTGAATGCCCTTGATTGTGAACGGACGACCTCCCGAGATCTTCTTCCACTGCTCAATCAACCACGGGATCTTCTCCCAGGACCACGCACGGCCGTGCCAGATCGAATCAATCCACTTCGTCGAAGCAGCGAGAACATCCTTCTCCGGATCAATTCCGTCCTCCCGGCACCGTTTCTGGAATACGGGGTCAGTAAGACCCAAATCCGCACCGATGCCACGGTAAAACGCATAATTGGAGCTCGCAACATCATCATGTCTCCAACCAAGCTGCCACGTATCCGTCGTCAACATCACCGCATCGAAACCACTCTTCCACGCACGATTCAGCAACGACAGCGTTAACTCATCATCATGAGGCATGTATAACTGAAAGATCCTTGGTCCATTGCCATTCGCTTCACCAACTTTCTCAATCGCCGTACTCCCAGCCGTTGATAGACAATACGGAAGATTCAATTCTCCTGCAACCTTGGCCACTGGTAACTCCGCGAGCGGGTTATAGATCTTGTTGATACCGATTGGGGCAAAGCCAATAGGGGCAGCGACCTTGTGGCCGAAGATCTCGGTCGTTGTGTCGCGGTTGTTGGTGTCGACGAGTTGGTTGGGGATTATGCGGTGGCGGTAGAAGGCTTGGCGGTTGGCTAGGTGCGTGTTGGACATGCCTGCGTTGGAGGAGGCGTAGTACCTTGTCCTTGTTAGTATAGGTAGTCATGGGTGATGATGGTGGTGGGACGTACCAGCCGGACTCGGTGAGGCGTTCGCGGGCTCGTTGTTCGAGTTTGATGGGGTCTGTAGACACAGTCAGTCATTGCTAAGAATGCAGGGAGTAGGGTCAAATGTACGAGTGTTAAACGGGGGAACCTGCCCATCGTTGGCCTTCCAGAAGTTCTGGCGCTGATACAACGCCCACTGGGGGGTTGATCGCTTCTCGATATTGGGGTTGTTTGCGTCCATTATTTCTCTCTGCTCAATGCTTGTCTCTATTTTCTGTCTGTCTGTCTTAAGTTGTAGGTTTATATAGTTGCAACACATATTATCGATGACTTCATCCTGACGCGCTCTCGGGCGAGAGCCAGCCCTAATCCGGCACTCTTATCACATCAACTCTTCTCCTCGATAAGCAGGTATACGTACGCTGCGCCTTGAAGATTGACGGAAAACGTTCTCGGGCGAGACGGGAAACGGATGGTGAACGGACGGTGTCGCGGATGTGGACATCCTGGTGGACTGACCGGTATTCGGAACAGCTCAGAGGACATGGACTGATAGTTGCATCTGGAGTACTAAGGTCACGGTATATCTCGTTGCAGTTAGTTAGTATGAATAAAGGTAATTTGCTATGGATATAGCACCTACTCTAATTAATCTTATTTATTTGATATGATCGATGCAGGGATATACTTCTGCCCTATGATATCATCGATCTGCCCAAGCATTCTCTACATTCTGCCTGCAGTACAATGCCCCAGGGGTAGTTCTACATACTGTCAATTGAGAATCTAATTGTACTTTAATATCATCTGCCCTATATCTGATACCATAACTATGTACTACCGCCCATACTACCGACCCGATTCCTCCCGGAGCGGGAAAACCCAACCCCCCCGACGCTCCGGACCGGGTTCCCGGGTTTACTATCGGAACCAACCAGCTTCACTCAATTAACTTCTTAACTCACTCTTCTTGCTCTGCACACACTCCCAGTACTAACAGACTCAACAAAATGCTCCTAGGCAAACGCACCGCCGCCGTCCTCGCGCGGCCAACAACCCGCATACCAGCATCAGCAACAGCAACATCATCACCACTACGCACCTTCACCACAACACCACCCACCCACGACGTCGCATCCTCCGCAACCCCCCAACGCCCCACGCGCATGCCCTCCCGCGTCAAAACACCCTGGATCGAAGCCCTCACCAGATCCCGCGAGGAAGCGCGCGCCGCTGCCGCTGCCGCCACAGGTCCTAAAGATGTGAGCCCGACAGCGGCGAAGGTGGACACGACGCCGAAGAGGATGAGTGATAGTCATTATAGTGTTGTGTTACCGGTGGCGCAGGATAAGTGGTTGTTGGATAGTTATTTGAATGCTACGGGGCATATTCGGTATGTTCTTACCACTCTGTATCTGGATTGATATATAAAGCAAGTATTGATGAGGTGTAGGTTGGGATCGTTGCTTATGGACCTCGACGCCCTAGCTGGTATAATCGCCTACCGACATACAGGCGATAATGTGACAACCGTTACCGCTGCCGTCGACCGTATCACCATCGAGCACCCATTGATGGAGATCTGTGACCTCGAGCTTAGCGGACAGGTCACCTACGCTACAGGACGATCGAGTATGGAAATCTCCCTTCAGGTTGCCAAGGTCCCGCCGGAGGGGCAGAACGTGAAGCCGGACGATGTGTTGATTACCTGTGCGTTTACGATGGTATCGCTTGACCCCGTCACGAAGAAGCCGGTCAACGTTGCACCATTGGTGCTGGAGACGGAAGAGGAGAAGGGGCTGTTTAAGAAGGGAGAGGAGAATTACAAGGCCAAGAAAGCCCTCCGCACGCGGAGTCTCCTCGAAAAGGCGCCTGATGATGAGGAATCGAGCCTCATCCACTCCATGTGGAAACAAGAGGTTTCCTACAGAGGTACCCCTCACCACACCCCATTCATCCCATATCATACTAATATAGATACAGACCCCCAAACCCCCATCCAACGCCCCGAAAACACCTCCTTCATGTCCTCCACCGTCCTAACCAGCGCCATGATTATGCAGCCCCAAGACCGCAACCGCCACAGCTTCATGATCTTCGGTGGCTTCCTGCTAAAACACACCTTCGAGCTGGCTTTCTGCTGCGCTGCGTCTTTCTCCCATACCCGTCCTAACTTCTTAGCCCTGGACCCTAGTACCTTTGAGAACCCGGTTCCCGTGGGTAGTGTATTGTATTTGAGGGCGACGGTATCGTATACCGAGCCGTATGACGCACCTGCGACAGGATTGAGAGAAGAAGACGCTGGTGGTGACGGCGGGAAGTACACCAAGGTGCAGGTGAGAGTGGACTCGAAGGTTCGGGACGTCGAGCACGGGACGAAGAAGAGCACGGGGATGTTCCATTATACGTTCCTGGTTGATCGCGATGTGCAGGTTATGCCCAAGGAGTATGGGGAGTTCATGATCTGGACTGATGCGAGGAGACGCGCGCAGAATGCGGCTGCTATTCTGCCGGGTTCGAAGTATAATGCGCTTAGGGTTATTAAGGATAGTGTTACGGAGTGAGCTATCACGGTTCACTGAGTGTGCTTGTGTAAAAAGCGTTTGTATACCAGGTGTAGGAAATGCTATGTACATACATGCCCAATCATGCTATCCTATCCTAACCCAACATATCCATCCTACCTATGTCCAAATAGCCAACCAACTCCAAGAAAGTACAGTAATCAAAACAGTAGATCAAAAACGCAAAATTTTCAAAATCGAGAAAGCCGCCTCTACCCAGACTCCTTTTCCATCTCCCAACAAAGCCAGACAACGAACCCCGACCCGAGACGGAACCAAAAATATCATGTCGTGTCATAACTTGCATATGTTTGTTTTTTTGCATTTTTATTTGTCAGCATTCACTGGAAGTCGATGTCTTTGACTCTGAATTCCCAGCCTTGCCATCTTCACTGGCGTCCTTCTTCTCAGGAGGCGCTTCCTCCTTCATGCATGCATTTTCCAGGATGTTTGTCCACTTCCCGCTAGTTCCTGCATGGCTATGCTTCAAGTGCTGGCGGAAATGATCCGCACGGAAGAATTTCTTTGCGTTGTTGCACTCGCCAAATTTATGCACTGCAGTTAAGTGCTCGAAGCGACGATCCCAATCCGGCTGTGGCAAGTTGGGAAATTCCTCGCCACAGTAGCCGCAGATGTCGTGAGACGATGAACTGTTATTGTTCGATTGCGATGAAGACGACGAAGACGTTGACGCCGTTGTCCCAGAGGGATGGAAAGCGGCTTGGTAGTTCGGAAGCGCAGCGCAGGACCATGAATGGCGACGGAGGTGGAGCGAGTTTTGGTGTCGTTCTGCTTCGTTTTTGTTCTTGAACCGGTTGTTGCAGTATTGACATGAATACTGCTTCTCCATCTCGTGGGCCCGTAGTTCGTCCGGGTTGTCGAACTTTTTCGGCTTCTTTGGACAGCAATCGCAGATGTACAGCCCGCCCACCTTGGGACCACCCAGCTTGGGCACGGTCAGCGTGTTTTGCAACGATACCTTCCTTGGTGGGGCGGTGCTGGGTGGTTGCAATGTGTCTGAAGTCGCAGGGCGCATCACGGCCGGCCCGGGAAGAGCACCAGGAGAACTGGGGTTCATAACCGACTTGTCGTGCAACGAATCCAAATCGGAGTTGGGCGAGAGTCCAGGCGAAAGTCCACCGGGGGAAGGACGGTCGTATGGAGAAACGCTCGTCATACTGCTAGCGCCCACGGAAAGCCCTGCTGACGAATACGATCCCGAAGTACGGTAGCTAATCGAAGATGCCGCTGAATGACTGCCGTGACTTGGGGTGTAGGTACTGCTAACCGATAGGTTTTTCCCAAATGGATGTCCGCTCGTTCGACGCTGAGAAAGGTCACCGTTGCTGGTCGTCACATGAAGCGAGCCTCGATGATCAGAAATCATTTCACGGGGCGGACTGGATGCTCGTCGTTTCGTGCCGGATCTCATGTGGTCCAGATACGGTGGTGTAGCTTCCCGAACTTGGAACAGTCGCGGCGGTAACGAATCGTCACAGTCTCCCTCCACATCCGAAAACGCTCTTTCGTCGTAACTTCCCCGGTTGGATCGACTGGGAAGGCTTAGGGTATCCGGTGTCGTTCTGCCGCCACGGCGTCGGTAAGAATAGCCGGCATGATCGTGCTCCACGGCTGATGAAGGCGCACTGCTTTCCACGCTCGGACTCCGGCAATCGAGATAGTTCCAACCGACCTTGGTACCTGGCGAAATTCCTCCTGCGGAGATGGGGCTGTGTTGCCATTTCACATCGAGCATCGATCCATCTGAGCCTCCGGGAGAGGGTAAACCGCCAAAAGTGTGAGACGGAATAGTCAATGTCGAAGTCATTCGTCCCTCATTGATGGATTGGGGTGGCGAGAGTGGTTTCCCAATCTTGGACAGAAGATGTTGGTCATAACTATCTGACGCATCTTTCATATTTCTGCGAGAAAAGTCGCGTTCACCTTGCAGACTGATTTGGTCAGTTGGCTAGTCGTATAGTTACCGTTTCAGTAAACTTACATGGAGGAAGGCCCCGGGAGGGGGGCCACGGAATTGCAAAATCCGTCGTCCATCGGCGGCGGTGGTTCAATTCTGATCTGAGCTTCGGGACTTCTGGGAACAGGCACACGACCTTGGCGGCCCTCTAAATCATCCAACATCATGGGGTCACTGTGCGCAGATGCCTCTGGCCGTCGATGGTGGATATGGCCACTAAATAAGCTGGAACTGGGGCTGATAGGGGCAAGCTTTTTTGTCGACAAGGAACCCTGCGAGTTGGCATGCACCCAGCCGGCATCGTGGCCGTCCTCCAAATCCGCGAGGCGCGACGGCGGAGGCAAAGGTGGTGGTGGAGCAAAGTTGGACATTGACTTGGAAGGAATCGGCATAGGACTTGAAGAGGGAAAAGGGTAGGTTGGCAAGCTCTGGCTGAATCTGTCGATCACACGTGGTTGATCATAGCCACCGTTCACGTCGTGGATACTGATGGCGGGTGGCGACAAGTGTGGGAATCCCATACTAGGAAAGAACACTTGTCGCACAGGGAAAAACAAAGAAAAGGAGCGACAGGGAATCGGAGTGAAACCAGCAATCTCAGGATCAAGTATGAGCGGTTATGATGGATGAATGGTCGTCAACTCTCCGCCTCGATACTGCAGAAGCCCGCTTCCGATAGCTAGAGTTAGACAGACCAAGTGAAATAAAAAATTAGAGTGAGAAAAGCCAGTCCGGCGGCAATGAAGTAATATAAACAAGGAATGGATCGAGGCGCAATAAGCACGACGGAGAGAAATCAGCCCGACCAGCGATAGGGCTGAGAGGCGAGGGATACAGCAGGGAGTTTGCTGTTGGACGACGTTTTGCCACGACCAGTCGCGTCACACGTTGAGAAACCGACTGCCATCAATTAAAAAAGAAAAAAGAGACGAGGATCAAGGAATTAAAAGCCACCGAGGGGGGAGACGCTGGTGGTGGCGGCAACTCAGCAAACGGAGGGGGACATGTTGGAAGATGCAGGTCGTAAAATGTAGTGGGAGTGCGATGGATGCAAGATGAGTTCAATCTGACTGTGATCAGGCTGGGGAAGTGATGACGATACAGCCCGATCTCCTGATGCTAGAAGAGGCAAAACCGGAGAGGGAAAGGAATCGACGGGGCGAATCGCATGTGAGAATTTGAGGAGAGAGTGGGAGGATGGAGAGAGAGGAAGATGCAAGTCAGGTGATCAAGAGGGATAACTTGAAAGAGAAAATTGGATAAAAAGAAAGATATGGGGGATATTTGGATATGGTCAACGTTCAGCGGTTGGTTTAAACTTTGGCAACATTTGATACAGTAATGTTACAATACACCCTCAAAGGGGTCATCGGCAAACACCACGTTATGGCTGTTTGAGGCAGTCCATAAAACTCCGGAAGCAAGGCATAGGGCAGCGCAAGGCGAAGAAACATCCGAATACGCATACGACATACGTCAACTGTAATCTCAAGCGGTGAATTCAATACGGGTGGAGTATAGAGAATGAGGCAGTGCTGGAGGTCCCACTGCTATCCGCGTTCTGGTTCGCTACGGATCTGGACTGTACTCTGTAATAGTAGTAGTATAGAGTAGAGTGAGATATTTCTACAACTCTGCTAATACTCTGTACAGATACAGATACCTATCTGGGATTAATTATGAGTAAAATAGCACTCTACTACAAAGTAAAGGTACTCGATTATAATCCTGTAAAATACAGATACTGTAATAGTGCGTATTGTAAAGACTACATCGAACCAGACCAGGCTGCTCCACTCGCTCTCTCTGATTGGCTCCCGCTGGACTCTCGAGACAGCACTGCCACCGGACCCCGTCGCTTGCTGTCATCAAATAATACATAATTGCATTTGTCTGAATAGGAGATCCCACGGGATGTTTACAAGTAAAGCACATGGTGCTCAATTGCTGAATACTTACGTCGTACTACGGAGTATGTGAAGTAGAATGTATGAAATGTGTACTCCGTAGCACATAAACTCTGGATAAGCTCGTTGTCGCAATCGTCATAAGGTTATCAGCCTTAAGCCTTACGGTGATGGTCTCGTGACTTTCCGGTACGGGGTAACTACGGAGTGCGACTCATGTGTGTTTAACGCGCATTAATTTCATAGACCAATGCATGTTCATTTTACTTTCCTTGACCCCAGTAGTACAAGTACACTTGGCTGCCCCAAAGCTGTCCTCACCATGAACTAGGAATCAGATAAGCTCCTTCCGCTTTCGGCATCCTCAGCACCAACCCTCAAGTGCGTTCGTAATAGATTAAACCATGCCAGGGTCTGCGCTTGGCAGGGTTTAAGCGCCAATCACTGCATATCTATCCGGTTTAGGCGATGCTGTGTATGGAACTGATTATCTTCTCTCCTCCTCCTACCCCATATTAAGCATCATTGTTAGTGGACCAGAAGATCTCACCGGTTACAGGTACGGGCTCCGGATAAGTAGAATCACCGAGGATCGTCGAGCCAATCATGCCTTGCCCTAAGCCCTACTCGTTCTATCTTCACGTGACTGGCTATCAGGGCCCAGCCAATCATGATCGTTTTATGCCGACTGCCAGTTTTGGTCGGCTGCTCTGTATTGGGAATCATCCTACTTCGCCATCATCACCATCTGATTAGGCTGCCTCATTCATTTCAAAATGGCTATGAATCAGATTCCCGGTCATAATATTTACATTGGAGGGTTAGTAGCTTCCTTCGTTTCCGATTGTGCGGGGCTGCGTTGACTGTGATCAGGGTTCTATCACTCAAGAACAAGGCTGCCTTGACCAGAGCAAATATCACTCATCTGGTCTCCGTGCTACGCCTCCAGCAGGCAGATGAAATCCTCCAGGATTATCAACGTTATAACATTGAAGTGGATGATGTCGACGACGAAAATCTCCTACAGCATTTCCCCGCTGTCATCAAGTTTATCCGGGATGGTTTAGATGCAGGGGGAAGTGTCTTGGTTCATTGGTGAGTACATCTATACAGTCACGTGCAATTCCCCAAGTGTATCCTGTATTAATGATCGCAGTGCTATGGGGAAATCCCGGTCTGCTGCTGTCTGCATAGCCTACTTACTCCACAGTCAGCCCAAAGCGCAAACGCCCGAGTCAGCGCTGGCGTTTCTGAGGGAGGCGCGTCCTCTTTGCGAACCAAATGAAGGGTTCATGGAACAGCTGAAGATCTATCATCAGATGGGCTGTCCTGATGATGATGTCACCGGGCACCCACTGTATAATCGATGGCTGTATCGTCGTGAAGTCGAGGAGAGCGTTGCGTGTGGCCGTGCGCCGGAGATGAACTCGGTACTGTTTGAAGATGAGCAGCCCCATAAGCCGCAAGACGCTGATCGTTCGACTGAAATCAAATGTCGCAAGTGTCGGTATGTTTCAGTCTGTCATTTTCGCTTGAATATGAAACTAAATGTAGAAGGCGCATACTGGCAACGACCCCATTCATCATCCCACATGAACAACAAAACAACTCCAAACCAAGCACAGAATGTGCCCACGTTTTCTTACACCCCTTGACATGGATGCGTCCCTGTCTCTTCCCAAACACAACGCCCTCCTCAGATGCAGTGTACGGCTCACACCCCGATGATGCGCCATTATCCGGCCGCCTCACCTGCCCCAATACCATCTGCGGTCAGAACATTGGCAAGTTTGCCTGGCAGGGCATGCGGTGCAGCTGCGGCAGCTGGATCGTTCCGGCTATTGGGCTCGCCAAGGCTCGAGTTGACGTTGTGAATCGCACTAACTTCGCCACGCGGTCACCGGCTGCTGCGTTGGGCATCCGTTTGCCTCCTGGGATGAGGCCGAATGCGAATGCGGTAGATGAGACGGGAAGGGGGAATCTCTAGCACACAAGGCACAGATACACTCGAAAGTTTCTTTTTACTTTTTTTACTTTTTACAAGTGACAGTTAAGCACCAGCCGCGTCACGACCCCAGACTCGGAAGTCTATTTGCTAGTGGTCAGATCGAAACGCCTGTTACGTCATGAGCAATTCAGACGTGGTGGACGGGCTGCATTGTGCCGCCACAGTGTTCCGTGCAGACGGAATGATCCAAGCGCTGACTTGTCGCGCAAAAGCAAGGAGGAAATCGGGACGCAGGACGCCGTCCGTGGTAGACTTTACGACGTCTGGCTAGGGCGGGTTATGACAATAACCCTTGATCATCATGTTCCAGTCCTTGATCTGCATTTTAGTACCCGTACATTTCTGTACTTTGACAGTATACGTACTTCACAAAAACATGGACAGTAACGAGTAGGAACTCAACCCGATCTGATGCGGAGTCATAGACCCTGATCCAGTAGTAGTACAGAATCTTGTATGGAGCCACCCTCTACTCTCATTGCATGCCTCGTGCAGAGTTCCCAAAAAGCCATCAGGAGACAGGATCAACAAAGCGCAAAGTGCTTACCCCATCCTACACTTATTTTATTTGCCTTTTTCCTCCTACCAGTCTGAGAGGATTAGGACTAGCGCTGGCTCGGGGGCTGTGCAAGCGGGTAGGCGAGACGAGAGCCAATGGGATACAGGGTACTGATTAGGGCCAGGCTGGACGGAGATGAGCATTCACCGTACTATGTACATTTATTACACTCAGAGCCTGATTTATTGTGTACCCGTCCTTGCGACCCATGGTACCCTTGTAACTGATTGTTCTTCCATTGATCTCCATGAGTATCTATACAGGTACAAATACAGAACACTTGTATGTACAGTACGTACAGTACAGCAGACCCACGGATACTCTTCGATGGGAATTCTAGAAGCCCGGACCAGTAGTGGATCCCGAGAAACGGCACTGATTGGATAGAGGGCTTGGCATCCAGGATGCCGGTACTGCACTGCCCCATTGCCTTTTTGGGATCCTTTTTGGGAGGGGGGGATGTGTGTCTGGATTGTTGTTCCGTGGTACGAGTACATATGCATGGTGGCCAGTGCAGGATAGTATGATAATTTCGCTAAGGATGTCTATAAGATTAGTATTTGTTACAGTCGCCGGAGTGAAGTTTACGGTGCATAGATAGTGTGGCTATTGCCTTGGCAGGTCTATAATAGTAGTATAGCCAAGGGCAGGGAAAGGGATAGACTTGTTAGTTATTTCTAGACATCGCAATGCTAAGAATACCCCCTTCAACTTTATTGCGAACCCTCCTCTGACCCGTGAATATCTACGTACTAGCAGTACATCCGATATCAAGAAAGCTGAGCTGACTGTGATTGCTCTTGCAGATTGCTAGTGCTTACTTATCTCACCTCACGGGAGGCAGCAGAGCACGGTGTACAGACCCAGTAAACCCGGATGTCTGTTCTTGATCAACCGGGTACGCGCAGTGCAGCAGCACAGCCCTGTTGATGTGGTCAAAGGCAATTGCATCTAGAACAGCGAGTCGGCGTAGCTAGATTGAGAATGGGGCGATGCAGAGCTAGTTGGCCATTTGATATTACAATCGTCATGGCGTTGAGCTGATTTCTGTCGGCTCTAGGCCAATGCATGAATCCGATGACTTCCGATATACGTCTAGACAGTAGTGTGGTATCTGTATGCTCGTCCTCAGGGAGTTTAGTCAAAGACCCCCCGACGGAACGGACGGGAACAGCGATGGATCCTGTAACCGTTGACGATTGCGCTTGGCCATTTCGACATTACGCAGGCGGTCGATGCGCATCTGGTAGAAGTTCCTAGTCGTTGTTTAGTCTTGGTTGGAGTCAAATCCGGCTGGTTGACGTACTTGTGCAGAGAGAATACACGGGATGAGTCTGAGTCGTCTGTAGGTGTGTTTCCTTGTCCCTTCTCTTGCTTCTTGAGAGACTCGATCTGTATCCGTTAGTTAGCCCTCGTCTACAGAGCAGAAACAAGAGAAAGCACCTTATCATCCCTCTCCTTCTCATCCGATCTAGCATCTTTATCTTTCCCCTTGTCCTTGTCTGCATCTTTCTTCTCCTCTCCATTCTTCTCCTTAGACTCTTCACCCTTCTTTTCCTTCTCCTTTTCCTTCTTCCGCTGCTGCTTCTCCTCATACTCCCTCTTCACCTTCTCAATCTCCCTCGCCAGCGCCTCCTTCACCTTCGCCTCCGCCCCCGCCGTATCCACAACCGCAGAGCAGAAATTGCGATCTTTCAAGTGCGCGGGACATATGTAAAAGAAGTCCTATGTGTTTTTAGTAATGAATACATTGGCAAGCAGGTCAGGGGTGGGGGAGTACTTTGTTATCCGGCGTGATCAGAACACTATTCGAAGGTTTGTAGCAGATGAAACATGCTTTTGCGGCGGTGTCTGCTACTTTACGGTGGTGCCAGGTGTTTTGAAGGGACATTGTCGTGGTCTTTGTTGTTGTTGGTTTGAGCTATGTTGAAGTTCGATTTATATTCCGGGGTGTTTTTATGAAAGTGGGATGGTTGTTATCTGCTAAATGATGTCATGTGACTATTTACCAACGATTTCTAGCAACATCCCCATTAAATTGACACCAACAAATTCCTATATCAAACGCCGGAGCAATGCTTCCAATTCAAAATAAACAAATAAAAGAGAAAGGTAATATATCACCACTACCATATATCCCAAATAGATAAATCATAAGACACATAATGAAGGTCAATGGCAGACTATGACATTGACATCTCAACATCTTCAAATAACCCAGCTGCTTCCTTGGCCAATCTCAGATCCTTGCCAACAAGTCCAATGTCCCGCAGATACGGGTTGAACACGGACAAAAGGTCTGCGAGCGACCGCTTCAACGTATCAAGGACGATGTCCACGTTTGGAACATGACGGGCCGCCGCTTGTGCCTCCGGGTTGCTCGATGGAGGGAAGTTGACATCCGTCCAGTGTGCATCTAAGCCGCCATTGATAAAGGCTTCAAGGGTCTTGATTGTGTCCGCAAAGAGACGCACAACAGTGGGGACGTCGCCCTGGACTGTGCCGTAGTTGTCTTCTTGAAGACTTGCGGCGAGGAGACGGTTCAGCGATTCAATGGCGTCGATGATCGGGCTCACCGTCGCGTAGGGCGAGCCAAGGACGATGCTAGATAGTCTTCGGCCATAAGTCTGCCGGAAAGGTTGGCCCAGTGGTGACCGGAGAAACTGTGCAACCAACGGGTGGACATCCTCAGGTTTGGCAGTCGAATCGCCATCAGTGAGCAATCTAATTTCCTGCGTCGATGCAAGCAGTTTCTGCTTTCTCTCTGGACTAAGCACCGCAGTAGACGCACGGTCAAAAACATCGCGAGCTTTCGCACGAGCCACCGGCGTCCAGTCTGGCGACTGTCCATACGACTTGGCCGTTGTGCTGAAAGCATCTCCAAATCTGTCACGTCGCGAAGCTGCCTCGGGCGATGAAGCAAAAAAGTTGCCCTCCTTGGGAGGCTCCGTTAAGCGCGGAAGGTTCTGTATAACTGGTTGAGTCTGTTCGGCTGGCTGGGCGGCGCTTTGTGGGTTTGTCTTCTCCTCAATCCGGGTAGAAATACCCTTGATCACCTCCGTGGCAGATTGCAGAATCTGCGACCAGGCTGAACCACCCTCGCGGTCGATATCGTTGAGAATCGCTTTTCGGCGGTCAGCAAATTGCTGGCTGATGAGACACAGTTCCCAAAATGCAAACGTCTTGACAGTCTCCTTCTTCGCCTTCAATCCGTCCAGCAAGCTTCCGTTGGGATCCTTGGTGTCTCCTGTAAGAGGCCGGCCTCGCTTTAGAGGCTCCTTGCTGATGAACACGGAAAAGAACAGGTTCGAGGTTTGCCAGCAAAGGACAAGCAACGATCCGGAAACAAGAGATCGGAAAATCAACCCTGGGCCAATCGGAGGAATGCGTCCTGGGGGGTCCGCAGCCGACCGTGGGAAGTTCCAGAACAGTTTCGCAAAATACATGGTAAAGCTCCATGCTGGGCGTCTTAGGAAGAGGGTATAGAAGACGGGACAAATGGCGGCAACGACTGCGCTCCGTTTAACTCCATCTCGAACAAATCCAGGCAAGGCAAGCTGAATCTTCTTGGAAACCGACTCCTGTGGATGTGTTCTTTGATCCGCGGCGGTAGGCGAGCGTTTTGCGATAGTGATGGGAATGCGATCGTAATCGTGGTAGAGATGGAACACCGACTGGACAACTGCCAAAGCCATATGGTAACTGTAGAGGTAAAGCGGCCTTTCGTTCAAGCTCGCTCGTTCATATGGTCTGCATCAAACGTTAGATTGCGCCCAATATTGACACCTCGGGATTCGACAGCACGTACTTGCCGCGTTTCACCCACTCGAGCTCTGCACTCATAGGACGTGACCACTTGTAAATTTCGCTGAACCACCAGGCGGAGAATAGGTACCATCCGAAAGTCTGAATGAAGTGTAGAGGGACGAGGTGTTTGACGGTACTGATCGAGGAAGTGGTCGTTCTCGAGCCGATGTGCATCTGACCAACACGCAGGACAAAGACGACCAAGTAGGAGAGAAAGAGAAGAACGGTACGAATACCGCAGCCGCCGATTGGGAACCATGACCAGAAGACTATGTGACGACAGGCAATTAGCTGGTGGTCTCAAAGAGCTACTCTTGAGGTACTCACAGGACGATTTATCGCCAATCGCAAACGCGACGACGTAGCATACCAATACCGCCAAAGCAGAGGCATGAACAAACCTCCGATGCAGCGCAGAGGTCAAAATGCGCCTATACGGTCGAGGTCGAACAGCAGCCATGGTGGAAGCTGGAGAAGAAAGGACTGCGAGATCTCCGAACAGAGACACAAAAATAGATAAAGAAAAATTCACAGCATGTTCAAAACCGCGGCACCGTAATATGACGAGTAGCTCCAGTGGAGCAATCTGCGGAAAGCTGACCGAACGAAAGGGCGTTGGGCGGGCGTTGAAGAAAGCGACGACAAAATGAAGCTTTTCGGACCCAAAAGCATCAAAATACACAAGCCACATCCCACCACAGCCACATGATCAGGTGATTCCTACGTGGCTTTCAAGCTGTCTCCACACTAGCTCCAAAGCGGACTAGCGCAGCCTATCATGTGATAGCGGCCTGTGATTCCGGGCATCCACCGCTTGCCCAAGGCAGTCAAACCACTTCCTCTTTGTATGACTGCATGCTGCACGTCGCTGCATCCCCGTCAACAAACTCACACCATCCACCTCTCCTACTTATTCATCCGAAGTAATGTCTTTCGATCGCTTGAACTCCCTGGAGTCCCAGACTACCCCTCTCCGCCGTTCCGATGATCCCCAGTACCGTGATGATCCCGAATTCCACCGCCTTACGGAGACCCTCTCCAATCAGTTGTTCAACTTAACGTCGAATATCTCTCGTTTGTCGAACCAGATCGCTCTTCTAGGGACTAAACGGGATACGGATCGCGTGCGCGAACGGGTACATGATCTGCTGGAGGAGACCCGCTCGGGATTCAAGGATGTGGGAGATGGTATGAAGAAAGTAACGGCGTGGGAGGATGTCAATGTATGTTACTGGACATTAACCAGCTCGGGATGCCTTCTGTATGTCAAGCTAACACATGTAACCCCAGCCCGCGCAAAAATGGACACAGCAGAAGTTGTCCGCTGAGTTCAAGAGTACCCTGGAGGAATTCCAGACCGTCCAACGTCGTGCTCTGGAGAAACAGCGAGCATCCGCCGTTGCTGCTCGCACGGCCATGGATGAAGGCGAACTCCCACCAGCAGACTCAGAGGCTCAACAGCAACTACAGCAACAACAGTTGGAACAGCAGCCCCGCCTTGCGAACCAGAACGAAGTGGACTTCCAAGAAACCTTGATCGTTGAGCGCGAGTCGGAGATCCGCAACATCGAGCAAAGCGTTGGAGAACTCAACGAGCTTTTCCGGGATGTTGCGCATATCGTCAATGAGCAAGGTAGTCAGCTGGACATTATCGGCGAGAACGTTCAGAATGTCGGATCCAATACGCAGGGCGCGAATTCCGAGCTTCGAAGTGCCAGCCGGTATCAGAAGAATGCGCGGAACAAGGCGTGCTGTCTGCTCGTCATTCTTGCTGTTATCCTGGTTATCATTGTCTTAGCGGCAACGCTTGGATAAAGTAATCCCTATATTTGGTCATCCTGCGCCTATGCACCTACTGTGCTATGATTAGATATCCTGTTTGTTCGTCCGTTACGATATCCCTTTCTCGATGTATACGGCTTATGGTTTGCGATGGACTTGATTTGCTACTTTGTGGCTCCGGCGTTAATGGAGTGAAAGAGACAGTATATGCTATGCTTTTTCTTGTCTCGTTTATCTCTAGATATTGTTATCGTACATGACTCGTTGTTATACATGACACAATGATATAAATTCCATCAAAACCGGTATTTAACTCCTTGTTCGCCTTCATATGTGCAGTCCAGGAATAGAGGTGTGAAAAGGGACGGAGGGGAGATTGTATGTTATACATTAACACCACATTAGCCAATGTACCGGTTGAATCGCATCCGCCAACCCTCGAAGCTGTTCAGCTTGGGTCGTACGTCCAGGTAAAAGCTCAGTTTCCCGGGACCAGCATTGGATGTCAACCCGGGGGCAGCACTTGTTCCGCCTGACTTCCCTTGGTAGAAATCAATCACATATTCGACTCGTTCCCCATCACATCGCTCAACAACCCAGTCGTGTCGGTCAAATGGCAGCTGGTAGCCCATCCAGTTATTGATCCGCGCGCGGGGACTCAGAAACTGCGGGTCAACACCCAATCCGCGGAATGAATACAGCTTCGGACCACCACATTTCCGGCTCCCAGGGTCCGACGAAGGAGCCTTGTTTTCCCAGTCTAGAATCTGCTGCCAGGCACGCTCATTAACGGCGTTATGGATGGGGATAATGGACGCCACTGTTGTTGCCAATTCAGTTGGCGAGTTGGTAGAAGTTGGCGTGTTGCCTTTTTTCACAAGGGCTTCGAAGAATTGACGCTCTGAGGGGTATATCCAGTTTCCGGAGGTCTTGTCATGGCCTGTTTCATCTTCCGCATTGGATGGGCTATCGTGCGATGCGGCGTACGGTGATGGACATTCTAACGCAGTTTGTGATGGATCCGCTCCGTTTTCGAAAGCGCGGGGTATGCTGCTCACTTCGCGATCTACAGAAAGAGGTCGCTGTCCCTTGGCTCGAGGCTCGGAATCGGCGGGCGGAGGTGGTGGATGAGGGGCACCACCAGAGGCACGGTGTTGCTGGAGCCAAACATCGCGGGTTTTGTGATCGACTGGGCATGCGTCTGCCGGGGGAGGCGACTGTGTACTTGCACCGGCACCCATTGTTGGCGACTGTGGAGGGGAACAATGGCTTGGATGAATTAGTAAAAAAACGCATCCAAAGGCGGAGAGGAAGAATTTCTGACACCGCTCACCGCTTTCGCGACTAAACCATACGGAATTGCCAAATTGCCCGACTGGGAAATCTGGTCCCCTCAACTGTGATACCCTGCCCCTGACTACCTTTCGAACCTCATCTTCCTTCTCATTACATCCTCAAACAAACACAATGGCTGGCGTATCGGACAACCAGGTCTTCCGGGCCACTACTACGGCTCCTGTCAACATTGCCGTGATCAAGTAAGTGATCTAGTCCCCTATATATCTGCCGCTGAGAATGCATCTGACATGGAATTGTAGGTACTGGGGAAAGAGAGACCCTAGCTTGAACTTGCCCACCAACTCCTCACTCTCCGTTACGCTGTCTCAGAAATCGTTGCGTACTCTCACTACTGCTTCTGCCGCTGCCACCTACCCCGCCGCAGACGAGCTCATCCTGAACGGCAAGTCCCAGGAGATCCAGTCCTCGAAGCGGACCCTTGCCTGTCTTGCGAACCTTCGTGCACACCGCCAGGCTGTCGAAGATGCCGACTCTTCTCTCCCGAAACTCTCCGCTCTTCCTCTGAGAATCGTCTCTGAGAACAACTTCCCTACGGCCGCCGGTCTCGCAAGTTCTGCGGCTGGTTTCGCGGCGCTCGTCCGCGCTGTGGCAGATCTCTACCAATTGCCCCAATCCCCTCGGGAGCTTAGCCGCATTGCTCGTCAGGGATCGGGCTCTGCTTGTCGGTCGTTGATGGGCGGATACGTGGCCTGGCGCGCAGGTGAACTCGCTGATGGCAGTGACAGTCTGGCTGAGGAGGTTGCTCCCGCTTCGCACTGGCCTGAGATGCGTGCATTGGTCTTAGTTGTCAGCGCTGATAAGAAGGATGTCCCCAGCACTGAGGGTATGCAGACAACTGTCGCTACTTCCAACCTGTTCGAGACCCGGGCGAAGACCGTTGTTCCTGAACGCATGGCTGCCATTGAGACGGCTATCCAGAGCCGGGACTTCCCCGCCTTTGCTGAGATCACCATGCGTGACTCGAATGGCTTCCACGCCACTTGCCTGGACTCGTGGCCGCCGATTTTCTACATGAATGACGTTTCTCGCGCTGCTGTCCGCCTTGTGCACGACATCAACCGTGTTGTTGGCCAGACCGTGTGCGCGTACACCTTTGACGCGGGCCCGAATGCTGTCATCTACTACCTCGAGAAGGATACTGAGCTTGTTGCCGGTACCGTCAAGGCCATCCTCGGCGCTAGTGCTGAGGGCTGGGACGGCCCGTTCAACGAGCCCTTGAAGAACATCTCTGCAGGTGTGGCTCTTGACAAGCTGGACTCCAGAGCCGTTGAGGGAATTAAGGATGGTGTCAGCCGGGTCATCTTGACTGGCGTCGGGGAGGGCCCCATCAGCGTGGATGAGCACCTTGTCAGCGAGACAGGTGATATCATCTCCCAATGAGTATTGAATGTGTCGACCAAGATACCCATTGTTGTTCTTCATTGAGCGAGTCATTGCAGCGCAACTTGTCTAAACGCACATGCATATAAAGTATCATACTATACCTACTTTATCTTCCGGTTCCTATTTATTTCGGGTTATATTTTACATTTAATACAGTGAATAATTTTTGAGATATATGGATGCACTCTTATAAATATTTTCAGTAGACTTAACTTTTCATAACTCCCTTGGATCTATACCTCAACGCTTGTGTTGCACGCGCAAGACAGCGTCTAGCTGAAACAGGTATGGACAAAAATATTGAGCGTGCATGCTGGGGAATACGGCGGAAGCTCTTGCGCCGGGGATAGAATAGGAGACAGCCACTAGACCATGTCATACACCCTGCACCAGTAGACCCAAACTGGATCACACGTTGGACAGGCCCAGCAAATGCAGACCTTCCTGAGGGACAACCTACAGCCACTCCACAACGCCTCAAGCGGGCAATGCTTCACTGGTGGAAAAAGCGGTGGCTGGCGCGTCCAGAGCCTTGGAGCGAAATGCATTCCAGACCACCAGAACAAGCCAACCTCCAAATATACCAAGGGCTCTCACGAGCACGCTGTTCTGTTCTGATACAGCTTCGCACGGGGAAAACTAGACTGGCAGGATTCCTACACAGACGTGGAGTGCCTGGATACAGCTCCCCAGCCTGCGCTTGTGGGTACCACTGTGAAACTGTTAAACACAACCTGATCCATTGCCCAAGGTGGATGGTGCAGAGGAGGGCCCTAGAAACTGGTGGTCGGGTTGACAGCAAGTGGTTGCTTTCCTCTCCGAAGGGAGGGGTCGTGGTCTCTGGTTGATGGATGAAGCTGGGCCTGCTACACCAATTCCAGCTTGCCAAAGAATTGGAAGCGGAGGAGATAGAAAACGAGTTGCGGACATAGTGAC